ACTTAAACCCCTGAAACTGTGAGCCAAATTAAATCTTTCCTCCTTTGTTTTTCTGTTATTTGTCAATGAGACAAAAACTGACTACTAATACATGACATTTGATATTATCTCACCCAACTAAAATCCTTTAGTGTCTTTCCATATCTTTATAAAAGACGTAAAAGAAGCTTCATCCTTATTAAGCTCAATATTGAGCTCTACTATCAAGCAATCTCTTGTATTTTTTGTTTTTCTGTAGGATAGAATTAATAGTGTATTCTTGTACTGACTGCTGTTTCATTCCTATATGCCTTTGGATGGGTCTTTCCACCTGCAAAAGAGCCTATCCTAAAAGTGGGCAAATTTTTTATTCTTGAGCATCCTGCTCAGACATTATGTCTTATACAAATTGTCCTGTGATCCCTTTTCTTCTCCCACCATTCAACAAAATTCTGTATTTCTTTGTAGTGTTTTGATATCCTGTAAACACTTTCACTACATATACTTCCCTCTTGTTTTAATTATTAAGCTTGTAGGCACTRTTATTAGACTATCATTCTCTTCTTGTTAATTGTGCATCAGCTATAATAGTCTTACTTCAGTTTCTCTTTTTGTCCTCAATTACTAGCACATAATAAGCACAGATTTAAAATTTTTTTTTGCTTAGCTGAGCTTAACTGAATAAAACCAACTATTATATTATTTAATACATTGCTATCCAATAATTCCTATATTTTTATTTATGGAGTATACAGTCCAGATCCCCAGTGGTCTCTTGAAACTGCAAAAATCATTGGATCCTATGTATACTGTTTTTTTCTTATATATACATGTCTATGATGAAGTTTAATTCATAAATTAGGCACAGTAAGATATTGCTACTACTAATAAATTAGAACAGTTATAAGAACATACTGTAACAAAATTTTCAGAATCATTACTCTTGTGCTTTGGAGTCATTATTAAGAAAAATAAAGGTTATTTGAGAACAAGCCCTGTGATACTGAAATAGACCATCTGGTAAGTGAGACAGACACTGATTAATGGGCACGTAGGCTGTATAGCATGGATACACTGGACAAMGGGATGATTSATGTCTCGAGTGGAATAGAGCAGAGCATTGCAGACATTCCTGTTGTTCAAAACAACATGAATTTGAAACTTATAAATTATTTCTGGAATTTTTCTTTTAATATCTTTTTGTTGGGGGGTGTCACGTACCAGGGATTGAATTCAGGGGCACTYGGCTACTGAACCACATCCTCAGCCCTATTTTGTATTTTATTTAGAGACAAAGTCTCACTGAGTTGCTTAGTGCCTTGCTTTTGCTGAGGCTGGTTTTGAACTTGTGAACCTCTTGTCTCAGCCTCCTGAGCTCTGGGACTACAGGTATGCAGCACTGTGCATGGTCTCTTTTAGTATCTTTAGATCACTGTTGACCATGGGTAAACTGAAATTGTGGAAAGCAAAACTATGAATAATTCTAACTACTGTAATAATTAAAAGTGTGTGTACACTCTCCGTAAATTGCTTTGTAAATTCTTTGGGGACTAAATGAGAAGTACTCTATTGGTCAGGGTTAGTAAGGAGACAACTTGGTAAAGACTACAGAGTGCTACCTCTTCAGTTTTTCCTGAACTGAAGACTTTCAGTTGCACCTAGATTTAAGACAAAGTAACTTTATTATAGCAGATGGATAATCCAATTGGAGCTGTCCATTTGCATATATAGACCCTCAATAGACAGTACATACCAGAAGAGTGAATGGGTAACTGTGTGTGAGTATGTATGCACGCACGAGAGCTCATGCTACTAGTTCTATGTACTTTGTAGACTGAGTTTAAGTAAAATGAAAATTTGTGAATAAAATGCTACTTACAAGTACTAACACCTGTGAACTGTGAATTGTTCTTCTAATTGAGATTCCTATTTTCACTCTTCCTTTTCTTTCATCCATTCACCAAGTCTTTTTTCGGGGCGGGGGTGATAGGGAGATGGTGAAGAGGCAAAGCAGATATCCACTTAGGGCAAGAAAAGCAATGAAGACAAATTACAGATTTTAAAAAAACAACAATACCACAAACATAAAAAATTCAGAAAAGTATTTTAAATTAATTGCCTGAAACATCACTATGTTTTTTCCCTTTACTTTTAGCTTTAAAATTTTTGATTGCCTTATCATTTAACAATTTTGTAACACTTTGTCTCTAATGAGAATGGATAATTTAGTATTCCACTCAAGCAAAGTTATTAAGTTTGGAAAATTTGATTTTCACAGTTTGTTCACATGTTATTTGCCAATAATAATGTCAATTTTTAGTATTGCTAAATTTGGGAAATTCTGTCATAAATTTCTTGTGTGAGCTTTCATTTCAAGCACTTTAAGTCTTCTTAGGCAGTAACAACCCTGAGTGCTTTCATTAACCTGTTTGTTGTCAAGTTCTTGTTTTAAAGAACTTCTTGTATTATTTCATTACCTTATAGATGCCAATATTTCTAGTTTCAAGGTATTTATGTGGTTCATTTTCCTTCATCAATTATAAAAATTTTGAGTCTATTATTTTTATTTAAAAATTTCTTTTTCCCTCAATAAATTACTGATTTTAGCTTTACCTGATTTTTTGCAGTAATATTTTTGTCAAAATGATTTCTATTAATTTCAAATAGTAATACAAAATAATTTTATTATATAATGTAAAATATGATGCATTGTTAAATATATTCCCAAAGAAGAAAATCATCTATTTTAACTAGATTGATGAGAACTGAATCCTGAGCTTACAATTGATTTTCTACAGCTGGGGCTGGATGAATACATTGACTCCACTGTCCACTGCCTTCAGGCATCTTATTCCACAGAGCACATTCTCATCAATTACATCACCTGATGCTTCCCTGTAGGCCAGGTGAGTTGTCTCAATGGATGCCAGGAGTGTTCCTGGGAGCCATTTCTACACCAAGACAGCTAACAAGAACCTGAGCACACGTGGAAGTGCTTGTGAAAAGCCACAGTTTTAAATGCTAAACCCTATCACATTAGTGTTGCACTTGGGACCCTTCAATATCTCCCAATTTTTTTTCTAGTAAAATGCAACTTCCTTAGCAATGTCTATAAAACACTGTATGGTTTTGGTTTTTCCCATTTCTCCAAATTAATCTTCAACATATATACCTTTTGCTTTGGCCCAGCCATACTGGTTTTACACTAGTTTCAAGAAAATGCCAAATTTCTCCCCTGCCCTCACCCAGGCCATCAATGCCTACCATTTCTTTCACTTTAGGATTTTTGTTTATTCTACAAATTTTTTCTTCGGTCACCCATTCTAGTCAACCGTTCTTTGCCTTAACATATCCTTCTGGTTCTAATCTCCTTTTGGAAGTTGTCTTTTGAGTTCTCTAAATGATTTTTTTCTGGGATGTGTAACTTTTTAACATCCCTTTGGTAATGGTCTAATTTATGTAATATGCGTATGATTGGTGTGTACCTATATTCTAATTAATCTATGAAATATGAGTATGACTGGTGTGTATATATGCTATATAGGTGTATTGCTATATATTTTGTTTATATATGATAGCTTTATGCATAGCTCAAACATTGTGTGTATAAGTCCCAATTTGAACTCATTTCCTTCCCCAAATCTATTATGCCTCGGGTGTTTCCTATTTTGTGCCATCACCACTGATTCACTTGTTTGCCCAAGTCAGAAACCCAATCACCCTACCTTCTCATTTGCCTCTGCTATCCAATTTGTCACTGAACTATACTGATTTCCCCTCATGAACACCTCCCAGATTTATCCCTTCTTCTTCCTACTTAGCTCTTCATCTTATTTCTTCCTGGAGTGATCGTAAATGTCTCCCAGGGAAGACTTCAAGTGGCCTGCTTAATTTCGTCGTATCTTTCAGCCTGCTTTCAGAATGATTTTTCAAATATTCAATTTTGATCATGTCAATACTTTAAAATTCTTCAAATATGGGACTTCACTTATTAACAGACGAATTGTAAATTAGGCTGGACATCTGTTTCACGTTCACATCTGATTTCATTTTCCCTAGCACAGTTCACCCGACTCCACTCACTGCACACTAGACAAGCTTTCTTGTTGCACTTGCTCTGCTTTCCCTGTTCTGTTAGCCAACTGCAACCCAAGCCAGCGCAGGCATTCTGGCCTCGCACCTGAGCAGGGCCACAGGACCCTGTACTAGCGCTCCTCCGCTGCTCTTTGAGCCCCGCCCCCCAGGGCTGCCTTTTCCACCCCTGTACCGCCCGCTCGTCCCCCAGAACCGACTCACGGGTGTCCTGGGGGGGGGAGGGGGGACACTCAAAAGATAATGAAAGAATGAGCGAAAGAATGAGAATGAAGCTTGAAAACAAAGGATTTGGRTTCGGATGCAGCCGCTTCAACCAATTCTAATGGTGGTCCTTTCTGGGCTGTACTCTGTGTGAGGCAGTATTCCTGCCAGATATAAACCGGTGCTCCAACGCCACCCTCCCTGCCCACCCGAATCCCTGCACGTCTCGCCGCGTGGCGGGAAAGCCGGCCGCCGGCAGCTCTGACGGGACAGACTCAGTCGTCAGCGCCCCGCGGCCTGGCTCACAGAGGCGGCCTGGCTCACAGAGGAGGCGTCGCTAGCGAAGCGGCGTCGCTCACAGAGGCTGCCTGGAGCCCGCCGCCCGGCCCGGCGCAGCGCAGCGCAGCGCAGGCGGCCCGCCTCGCGCCTACGGGACTGGGGTCGTCCTGAAGGCTGTGGATGCGGGCGCGCCCCGTCCAGGGCCAACCCGTCAGCCGCTCGGAGAGGCCGTCGCCGCCTCCCGCGCACGCCGCGCCGCTCCCGCCCCGCAGGCCCAGCACGCTGGGCCAGCGCGCGCCGTCCGTTTAACGGTTCTGGCCCCTCCAGGGTGCTACCGCCCTCGGGGCCCGGCGCCCCAGGCCCCGCCCCGTGCCCGCCCCGCGCCCCCTCCCGCAGCCGCCGCAGCCCCTGTCCGCCCCGCCCCCTTCGCGTCCGGGCGCCGCGAGCCGGCGCGCGGCGGGAGCCGTTCCCCGACGGGCAGCGGGGCGCTCGGCCGCCGCGTCTGGGCTGAGCGCCGCGACGCCGCTGCCTGAAGTCCTCCCGGATCTTGAGGCGGTAGGTGTCGGCGGAGGATAAGCAACAGCGGGGCGAGAGTGACGGGGCGGGCGGGCGCAGTCTCCTGCCYGGCTCTGGGAGAGCTGAGGCGAAGGAGAGCGCTGGGGTGGTGGGGCCGGTCGCTGGATCCCCCCCGCAGGTGGGATGTAGAATGGGATGGGGTGAGCACGTCGGATGAGGGCGAGAGRCAGCGCAGAAGATGGGGAACAGCCGGCTGGGATCCAGTGGTCTGGGGACACTGGGGAGGGGACCAYCCAAACAGGTGAATAAGTGCGCAGCGACCTCAGTCTCTGTGCCCCGAGCGGCCCAGGTGCCAGGCTGCTTTCAAGACTTTTTGCTAGCCCCTCCCCCGCCCCAATCCCGCGGCAAAAGATAGGGATTCGGGCAAAGCTACAGAAAAAAAGACAGTTTTTATTAGGGAACTCACAAACAGCTTTGTCTGGACAGTTTTTTTCCCAGCTGAATGGTAAATAGTGCTTGCACTGAAAAATGCTTTGAAAAAACTTTTATTTACTGAAGTTATARAGAGAAGGCATGAAAACTGGGATGGAATTTACAGCATTGTGATATTTTGCGTTTGATTCTTCCTAAATGTCGCAACCAGGCTTGTGGAATGCGAAATGACTTTCACCTCCTAAATCGTAATTGGTTTATCTCTTGTTCTCCTATATTTCCTCTGTTACTTATCATCTATCATTTTATAAGTACAGGTAGCGTTTTGTTTTAGGAAATACTAAAGTTGTAAAAGTAATGGTTTAAATTGAGATTAAATCTTATCTGTTATCACACAGGAAATATACACAAGGTAAATTAAAATAATCTTACTTGTTAATGTAGCAGAACCATCAGCACTTTCCAAAGAAGTCAGAATTAATTAATTTATTTTTAAAATTCTCAGTGCTGGGTTTCAAGCCCAGGGCCTTGGGCKTGTTAAGCAAGCACTTTACTACTGAGCTACACCTCTAGCACTCAGAACCCTAGAAGTTAAATTGGAAAATTTAAGTAGAGTAACCAGCTTCTAAAACCAAGTGCATAGTATATTTCTTATGTCATGACCTCTAATTAGTATGGCAGTCCACTGTAAGGAAAACATAATTACCATATTTATTTAATATTCCAAGAGAAATTATAAATTGAGGAAACAAAGTATTAACATTTTTTTCAGCAAGACTTTATTCATAAATGTTCCCYTTATAGTTAATTAATCCATAAATGTAATACCTACATGGAATAATGGATAGTCAAACGTCTTACAAAACAGGCAATTTTAGAGACAAGGACATGAACTTTGTAGTCATATTTTTCACTTCTAGGCAATTACATAATTAATTGTGTGGCTTTGGGTATGTCTCTTATTTTTCTGAGCCTCAGGTCTTTCATTAGTAAAAATGGAACTAGAATTATTTTTTTCCAAAAGTTAATGTGTGGCTCAAAGTGTAATGAGATAATATAGGTGAGATTTAGCATGTGACAAGATCTAAAAAATATATTTTAATTAAAAGATATGTGCTCATTAATAAGATTGTGTCCAAATTGATCAATTATGTGCTTATTATTCCCATTGTACTGTATTTGAGAAAAATCTAGGTTAATTTAGAATTTCAAAATTGATAGGGCCAATTTTCTTAAAACAGAAAAGGAACCTAAGATATAATTGGTATTGCCCTATGTGCAATAGCAACTACAACTTAAGTTTCCTGACTGATGTTCCTGACCAATATTCTCTTCACACAACTTGGCCTTTTAAGATGATTTGTTAAGTATGGGTGAACTTGGGAAAAAAAAAAAAACCAGCAGCCATTTTTGTATTAATACAATGAATATTTTTGATATATTGAATCAAAATATTTTTTAAAAAACTTTATGCCACAAAACTATATATTTACATTTTAAAAGACAACTTTCTCATAGGTCCACTACTTGCTACTAAGTCTTRTAGGTGGGATTCTGTTTGTTTGCAACTGTTGTCCTTTTTTAGCAGTTAATATCATAAATACCTACTCTAGGTGGTACCAGTAACTTTGAGGGGAACTTTGAAGGTGAAGCAGGCAGAAGTATTTTGTTTACTGGTTGTGTAGTTCAGTTAAGCCTTTAGGTTAAAGTTTGTGGAGTCCTGTCTTGATTATAATTCCATAAATAGGTTTTATAATAATAATTATATCTTGTCAGAATTTTAATTTTTCCATTACCAACAGTATAATGGTATGTATTATGCATTGCAATCTTCAATTTATTCTGTGTAATGCCAGTGCTTCTATGCAGGCATAGATTACATTTTTTTAACATAATAAACAGAATATTGTATGCTACCATCTTTTCTAATTTTCTTGATGATGTGGATTCATATATGGGGAGTCCTAGCTGTTTCTTTCCTACAACAAACTGAAAGGTTAGATAGCACTAAAAAAGCTTTAATTTTTTTGTTTACTTGTTTTGCAAAATCATATAATAGAGTTCTGTAACACCCCAACCCATGAAAATCCCTAGTTTGAATACTCTGGATTTGCCTTGCTCAGCAAGTGGAAAAGACTTTTCAACCTGCAACTCAGTTTCAGCTGAGCAATGAAAAACAAGGAACTGTGTGCCAAAGTACTCTATTCTTTTGTATTCCAATTCACTAGTTTCATAAGGGAAACAGGATGGAAAGTTACTGCATAATAGTATTAGGGTCCTCATTAGAATGGCTAGCTTAGCAACATATATTAGATTGCTTTTTTGGTCCTTATTTTAAATATTCCCTTCCACATAGAAAATATGGAGTAAATATTTGTGAGGGCTTTCTTTATACTTATGCTTGTAACTCTTTTTTCACTTCCTGTTACGTTAAAATTGTCTTGCCAATAACTACAGCTTTAGAAGTTTCTTAATAATTATGTTAAACAGTTAACAAACATTACAAAGCTAGGCAGATATTAATTTATTATACTGACTAGCTTATCTCCAAATTTCAGGAAAAGGTTAATTTTCCTGAAATTAGTTATCATTGCTAGTTTTCTCATGTCATTTTGAAGTTTATAATTTTAACATTTGGATTATGTATATCCAAAGTTAGGTTTTAATAGTATATAAAACATTTCTTGGAACTAAAAGGGAGTTCCCTATATTATGTTGCCCCTAGACTTATGATTTGTTGAAGATGATGTAATTATAGTTTTATGCTTGTTTATTCAAAATTAAGTGAGGTTTTACTTTTGACTTATCTTGATGTACATCAAAATTTAGAAAGTATGTGTCCCACACAGATGTCATAAAATTTTAGTTATATGGAGAGACACTTAAATTTATGGAGTTCAAAATTATGTTGCAGGTACTAGAATACAAAGATAAATGAGGTATAGTTTCTGTGGTGTCAGATAACTCATATCTAATCAAATAGGCATGTAGTGTATTTACTATGGTATATTTTAGAGACACTGACAGTGGAGGATGAAAATAAGGAAAGAGAAATTACTATTTTACTATTAACTATTTTTTAAGAATTAGAGAACTTCATGTAAACTATTTAATGTTACCTGTTGAGATATGAAGACATTTTCTTAGGAAGTAGCCAGAACTTGACCTTGGTCTTTAAGAATGAATAGTTATTTGGGAGAAGAACAGCAGGGAAGATGGGGGAACTCCAGACAGAACCTAAGTTTTCAGCTATATGTAAACCAAAATAAAACTAATTTAATAATTTTTGAACATCCACTGTGTATTAGACACTCTGCTGCACACTGGAGACATGAAMTATAATTTAACGTATGCAGAAAGTACCATATTAAAAGAGGATACAGGGTTGTTTTGTGAGATATAAAAAGATACTTATCCAGAGCTTGAGCAGGCTATCCTGGGTGTGAAATGGAGAGAGAGATTTGTGGATAGTTAGATTGTAGAGTGATATCAAGAAGCATGGGTATGAGCATACTCCTCACTTTCTAGATTCTTGACCCTTGGTAAATTATCTTATTTCTCTAAGCCTTAACTGTAAATTGAGGATAGTAATATTACCTAATGTTGACTGAATTCTTATTATGTTTCAAGTATTGTATTAATTGCTTTTTGTTATATGTGTTTCAGTTTTTCATCGATGTGACCAAAATACCCAACGTAAACAATTTAGAGGAGGGAAAGTTTATTGGGGGCTCATGGTTTGAGTTCATAGATTACATAGACTCCATTGCTCTAGGCTTCACCTAGGGCATTATGGGGGAAGGGTCTAGGGGAGAAAAGCTGCTCAGCTCTCAGCAGGGTCCGGAAGCAGAGACAGAGAAAGGAAGGATCCTGCAGAGCAAATGAATCCTTTCAGGGTAAAACCCCAGTGATTCACCTCCTCCAGCCATGCTCCACCTGCCTACAGTTACCAYTTAGTCCATTCAAACTAGGACAAAACTGATTAAGTTATAACTCTCTAATCAATTTACCTTTGACTATTCTTGAAGTTCATAGGAGCTTTGGGAAAACACTTCATATTCAAACTATACAATATTAATTAGCCTTCACATCAAGCCTAGGGGAGACTATCTGTATGTTATCTATAGTTATATAATTAGGTGATAGAGCCATGTTATGAACCCAGGTAGGGCTGACATGAAACCTGACCTCTGTTAAGAGTGCCTAGTTTATAGAGCTGTTCTGAGTAAATGGTTTATTGTACATACTTTCCTGGGGATATTACCTGTTTCTGTTATTAATAATCCAGGAGATATTGGTGAACTGAGTTTTCAAAGCAAGAATATGCATGAAGAGGTCATGGTTTAAAGAGAAAAAAATATTATATTTACTCATTTGTTCAGGGAACACTTGTTTATTCCTATTGTGGACTCAAGTCTAGGTACTGTGTTAATTGCAGGAGCACAGGGTTAATAAATATTGTTTCTCACTTTAAGATAAATCTGCTTTTTACTTTTGTTTAACATGGAAAACAAAACAAAGAATAGTACAGTGTTCTCTAAATGTTTTGATGTGGATGGGTCTTAAAATGGGTCTTAAGATGGGTCTTAAGAGTGGAAGCATTTAAATAAATCCATTTAAAAGGTGATCAAAAAGATGAATTAAGAACTACTGTGGAATTAAGAAAGTAGATGTGGAACCAGGTGCAGTGGTGCATGCCTATAATCTCAGCAGCTGGGGAGGCTAAAGCAGGAGGATGGGTAAGTTCAAAGCCACCTTCAGCAGCTTAGTGAAGCCCTGACTCAAAAAATAAAGAAGGCTGGGGATATGGGTAAGTGGTTAAGCACCCCTAGGAAAACAGAGAGAATAGACATGGACATGAAGAAAATGTGTGAGATATATTTTGGAAATAAAATGGACAGATGTCAGAGAATTATGGAATCGGGACTGTGATTTAGACTGTCACRTTGAAGGTGTGTATCTTTACAAAGGGTAACCTAAGAGACTTGATGATAAATTCAATAAATATAGGAGAAGGGGTATATTTGGGGTCAAAGTAACTTGATTTTGGATGTTTTCAATTTGAAGTGCCTATTGCTAATAAATTGAAATAGCATGAGGCAGTTGGAAAAATGGAGCTAAAACCCGAGCGGTAGATGGTGAAAGTATTCATTAGATCATGTTTATCATATACATAGGTAGATACAACTATGAAAATAGATGAGATGAGGTAAGAAAAGCCAAATTTAGTCATGTTCCTACATTTAATTGGAGAACAGAAGTGGCAATCAAATAGATAGGAAATAGCCCCAAAGGGTAGACCCAAGAGAAGTTAAGCGAGGAAAATGTTTTAAAGAGGGAATGTTCAACTGCTGCATATCATCTTAAATGCATTTTTGGGTTCGTATTTCCCACTTCTAAAAAAGATCTTCAAATGAGGGTTCTGGTTATTTGTATATATGTAAAACATCTTGATTATATTGTCCAAATAATAAAAATTTGTTTTTCTCCTCCTAAAGTATGGAACCTCAAGGTCTTTGTGACAATGGAAACCAAAAAGTTGATTGGTAAGCCGCTTCAACCAGCAAGACCTGTTCGTCATCTGACTTCTCCACCAGGTGAGTACATAGTGAACAGTTTATTAAATAGTAGTTTGTTAATGCCTCTTTAATGTTTAAAAGACTAAATAATATGTAAAATAATTGCTTGACATGGATATTTAAAGAAATAATAAAAACTGATGATCTCTGTTTGAGGAGTTTACAAGTATTAACAAAAGAAAAAGATTCTTAATCTACCCGTCCACAGTCTACCAGACTAAAAAGGATAGGAAAAGTAGTAGTCCTTATTGAAAGTAACTGTGTGATTTTTTTTTCCTCCTGTCTCATTTTCATAGTTAACTGACTTACAAATTGTGGCCTGTGATTATTATCATACAGAGTGGTCACACTGGAGAATTAACTTTTGGAAAGATATATCTATGTACAAAACAAATAAAAAATAAGCCCAGAAAAATTTAACATAACACAGATTGTTTGGTCATTTCATACTTGTACTCTAATGGAAGTTATGACTGTGCTTGAGTTGAAATATACCTAATTTCAGAAAATCTAAACCAAACAACAATCTAAAATTAAAATGTTCTTTTGSCCTTTAAAAATACTCTTTTGAAATACTCTTTCAAATTCTTGAAATATTTGATATTTACTGAGTTGGAATATTAACATTTTTATTTTATTCATTGTTTTTTTGCTAGAATGGCTTCTATATTCTAACCTAGGTAATATAAATATAATCTGTTTGAATTCTCATTAGTCCATATGTTTCAACTGAATTAACTGACAACTTAGCAAAGAAAAAAATATAACCCCTTTTCATCAATACAAAAATGAAGCAGAAAAAGTAGAAATAGAACCAGTTCTTGTCTCTTGTTCATTCTCTCATCCTTGGTTCCTAAAAGGCAGATTATCTCCATTTTACTTGATTTCCTCTTAATGTAGTTGTGTTTCAGGATGGACAAATGAAATTAATGTTTTTCTTGGACCATAGCTTCAAAATGCTGAACCTATGTCCTTCTAGTGCACTAAACGCAGTTGTATAAGGTCAAATCTCAGGTTTTACCTTAAAGGAAAGAAGGCATAACACCATTGGCAGTACCTCCTTTCTGTCACCAGCACTCCTCTCTCTCTCCATCTCTGCAGATCTAGGTCACCAATCTCTTCCCTCCAAGGCTGTTACATAGGTGAATGTGAAGGGACATGGAATGGGCAGGTACCCCTGATCTCTCATTTAACTATAATCCTCTTAATTTCAGTCAGTGGAATTAGGGGCTTATTAAATAGAAAATTCAGTAAATTAGAAATTAAGTTTCAACTTTCTCAACACACTTCCCTACTCCCTGAACAACTCAGGTCCCCAGGGAAATCTTGTACTTTTTCTGCAAGACTTATATTGAATTATATCCTTTTGACAAGCCTTCCTGATAACTGCAAACCAACTCTGCTCTCCCCCCAGTACCTTTTCTAAATATCACATAACTTACCATATATCAAATTATAATCATTATTTATTTATGAGTTTATCTTTTAAAGTGAGGCCTTTTATCTTTAAACCCTTTTCATACTTGTATACCTATCCACTAAAACAGAGGCTGACACTTCATAGGGTTAAATAAATATTTGTTGAATAGATGAACTATCAGAAAACATTTTAAGATAGTCCTGAAGTTATCATAGATACTTAGGTGATGTTATGTTATTTATTGGCATCATGGTTATTTAAAATAGTTTTTTTTCCTCTCCTGACAGGACCAGTGTTTCCTTTCAACTTTCAAAATGAATATCCATGCAACACTCAGTGCTTACAAAGTGGAGTTAGCAGAGTAAGTCTTAGAAATTTTAATAAACATGAGCCTGGGAATGTAGCTCAGTGGTGGAGCACATGCTTAATATGCATGAAGCCCTGGGTTCAATCCCCAATGTGTGTGTGAGCGCGTGCACACACATACAGAATAAAATTAAGCATTGTAGACTGAAAAGTAACACTTGTTAGATGGCTGTTATGTCAGATTCTGTACAAGGTGATTTATATATTTGTGAAAAGCTCTGATATATTTCAAATATATGCTCAAAATAATATATCATCCTTTTACCTACCACCTGTAGTCTTCAAATGTAAACATTTTTGTTGCATTTGTTTTTAAAAATTTTTAAAGAACAATCTAACATAGTTTTAAAACACATTGTATATCTTTCACTATCTCATTTCCTTCTCATCCTTCCCAGAAATAACTGTCCTTAGTTTTTTTTTTCATGAATATATTTAGACTTTTTCTTTGTTTTGTTTAATACTTTTATCTGAATAATATTGTACCCATGTTTGGTTTTGCAGGTTTTCCTTTCCCATTAGTTTATATTAAAAATTTTAATGTTTTGACTAAGTAAAATAGTTATGAAGTGTAAAATTGAAAATATACAAAATGATATTAGTGAAAAGTTTTCCTCTAGTCTCTATCCCCATGTCACCTGTTTCCTCTGACCATAAGTAACCATTTTTATCCAGATAATACCATAAATAAAATGTGCATGTACAAGCATTAGTATATTCATAAATAGAATACTAAGCAACTTTACAATGAAAAGACCAGTTCTATATTTGCTGATATAGAAAAATATTTTAATGCATGGAGAATGTCACCTTATTTTCATTTTCTGTTGAAAGGCATTTGTTTCTATTTTACAATAAATAATAGTGATTMTCCATCAACATGTTTCATTTTCATACAAGTTTGTGAGATTCCTTGTGGTGTAAAACTAGAGAATTACTGTGTTAAGTGTTCTACCTTCATTAGATATTGCTAAATTACTCTCAAAGTAGTTTGTGTGTGCAGAACATGAGAGCTCTGCTCTGATTATTCCATACCCTTACTTTGTTATTGTCAGACTTAACATCTTTTCTTTGTTCAGTGGGTGAGAAATCATTCATTTAATTTGWCCATTTAGATTTATTTTTTTGTGTGAATTACCAATTCATTTTATTCGCCCATTTTTCTTGTGTTGCTTTATTCTTAATTTATTTTATTGTTCTTATATGCGCAGCAAATATTTTCTTTGTGAGGAATYTGGTCTGTGAAAGAGTAATTTTCTTTGTGTATGAGTTTGTGAGTCTTTGAGAACGTACACTAGAAAGTCATGTTTATTTTTGTTATTTCCAATACAAAGAATAGTGTGCCTTATGTCATAGGCCCTCTGTGTTAAATAAATGTATTCAACAGGGCCATTGCCACCTATTTGGTATGTACAGTGCAAGAACTAGAGCAAGTACAAAAATTTTAGAAAAATGCAGATTTTCTTAGAATATGATAGTTTGTTCCCACCTGCTAAAAAATCTACATCAGTGCTGTGAAAGGTACCCTTTTAGATGTACCACCTACACGTGGTAGTCTCAAGTTTAAAAACCTAGCTCAAATCTTTTCTATATGTATGTTTTGGGTTGGTTACCAAACYGTTTTTGTATTTACTTGTCTTGCCTGTAACATGGCAATCGTATTTTCCTTATCACTTACATGATAATTACATAATCATTATGATAATTAACCAAGATAACATAATTACTTTATAAAAGTTTTTTAAATTTACTCTTTTACTTGCTGTGAAAGATTTTGAATGATCAGTATTTTCATTTTTTAATGTGTGCAAACATGACAAAATAGTTTTTACYTTTGAGTTTGATTTTAGGTCTTATATTTGAGTAAATATTATAAAGTTAGTGAAATGTTCATCTGCTAAAATTTTCAGATGTATGAAATTTTTTATGCATAAAAATGTCCTATTAGAGTTAATTATATTTGAGAGTCAGAAATAACTTTGGGGAAACTAAATCTCTGGCATTTCCTATTTTTTCCCATCTCTGTTTAAAAATAAATTTAAAAACCTGCTAATGTTTTCTTTTTTCTGATTACTTAATTGATGTCTTAGTGATGGAGAATTATCTTCTTAGTTTTTGTTTTGTCATAGGGATAGATARTTAGTCCTGCTTTTAGGCACAGCTCCTTAGGTAGCAAGGAATAGTTTATAACTTGTCATGAGAGTAATTAGAGCAAAGATGTTCATTTTTCAGTATAGATGTCTCTAAAGAAATCACCTTAGTGAATTATCATAGTTAGGGACTATTTGTAAACTGATTTTTGCAGTACACGAGGAGGTCATCTTTTAGGGATAGGATTGTGTTGACTATGGTTTTGAAACTGGTTTATAAGAAGAGAACTATTTATTTTACAATGAGCAATCTTGTTTTGTCTTCTGAGAACAATCTCTTTTTGTTATAACTTGCTTCTAGTTAGATTTACAGGAAGATAAATTGTAAATCAGAATGTTTCTTAATGGACATGTAATCAGAAAAACAGTAGTTAAAAATGAATCTTTCAAATCTCAATTAATTTAGCCAATCTCACAATGAAGATAGTATTTTAAGTACGACCAGGAAACACTGGATTTAGGCCTCTCTCCCCTCAGGACAGTGTTTCTGCTTTTTTTTTGTTGTTGTTGTTTTTGTTTTTTTTGGTACTGGGGATTGAACTCGGGGACATTCAACCACTGAAMCACATCCCCAGCCCTGTTTTGTATTTTATTTAAAGACAGGGTCTCACTAAGTTGTTTAGTGTCTTACTGTTGTTGAGGCTGGCTTTGAACCTCCAAGCCTCCTTTCTCAGTCTCCCCAACTGCTGGGATTACAGTTGTGTACCCCTGTGTCTAGCATATGATTTTCTTTTCTTCAATGAATGAACCAGTTTTTATTTCCCCTGTTTCCAAGGTGTTATAGGAAATAGTTCATGTGCTTATAAACTGACATAGGCATCTTTTTTGTATGAGATCAAAAAAGTAAACATTCTAGTAGTTTTGCAGGGTTTTGTGAATAACAATGTGTTTTTTCCATCAATTAAAATATTGTAATGTCTTTGGAACTATTTATGACTTCATAATTCATCTTTGATCTACCTTTCAAAAATAACCAAGATTATAGCAAAAATTGTTAAGTATATTTTGAAAGATGTTTTTGTTATTCATTTTTATTAAGTAAATCTATAGTGGTTGCCTATTCTTTGGTTCCAGATATTCCTCAACGAATATTTTGATTATTAGGAAAACATTTTGGAGTGGTAAAAACAGATTATATAAGTTTAAAAAATGTATGTACTTCTTGTTCAACAGTGTAAGACGAATGGAATGCAAGCCTTTTCTCAAGGTCTTAATGAACAGCAGCAACATCAGTCTCCAGTTAAGAAAGGTAAAATTTTATCATAATTCTTACATCTTATCATCGACTATCTTAATATTCATTAAAGCTGACACTACTTTTTGCATACCTGTATATACCTATGTATATAAAAAATTTTGTTATATTTTTTCAAGTTGAACTGTCTATATTAGGCTATTGGTTTTACAGCCCAGAAGGAGACCAGAATAACAATGGCTTAAACAAGATAGAAATTTATTTGATCTATCTTGTAAAATTGCAAGCTGGTGTATAGGCTCTGCTCTGTAGAGTAACTTCTGCCCCAGTGTTCTCTTATTTCTATGCCATCCTCAACAAGTGGCTTCCTTTGCTTTGTCCAAGGTAACTGTATCTGCTCCCAACCTTGTGTTTCCTTTCTAGTCATCCGGAAGGAGAAAAGGGGAAGGAAGTTTTCCTTAAGAGTGCAGCCCAGAAATTACATGTATTACTTCTCCTTATATCTCATTTCCATGTTCAGTAATGCTGTGCCTAGCAACAAAACAGATTGGAAAAAATAAAAAGTATGAAAAAGGTTCTAATAGATTTCACTTATAGTATTTACTTCTGAATTTCTAAATGAAACTTTTAAAATTGTTATTTCYAAATTTCTCCATTTTTGATACTGTATAGTGATGTCAGATCTTCATAAATGAGAACTTAGGTCTTCCATACCAACCCTTTTACWTCTTCATCCTTCCATTCCCCCTCCCCACCATATAGATATTTCAAAGTTTTAGTTAAAGTGTTAACCACTCTTTATATTATTGTAACTATGTAAATACAGTTGTTTAGCCATCAAGTGCATATCTCTTTTCTTATGCAAGCCTTAATTTTTTTCTAGAGTTAACATTTGCTATTGCTAACTTTTTTCTTCAAATGCTCCAACAACTCTCTCACTTTTCTATAATATTTGTGCTGAAGTTTATCAGTTCTTATTTTTCCTCTAGAGGGAACATTTTCTTATAAAATTCTCCATTATTCTGTTCCAGTATGGAGTATCTATACTGCAATAATGCTTTGTAGTAGTTGTAGAATAGACCTTTACTATTGTCTTGGGATATACCTGTATAAATATTTTCTTTTTCCTTTTTGTTAAATTGAAGTAAAATTTGCCATTTTAACCATATAAAATGTTCAATTCAGTGACTTTTGACACATTTACAATATGCAACTATCACTGCTGTCTAATTCTAGGATTTTTACCATTCTCAAAACAAAACAAAACAAAACAAAACACCTCATTCCCCTTAAGCAATTACTCCTGACTCTGCTCTGCCTAGGTACTGACAAACACTATTCTTTTCTGTCTCTAGATTAACTTATTGTGGGCTCATACAAAGAGAATTATACACATTTGGGCCATTGCATCTAGATTCTTTTACTTCTATAAAAATTTCAAGGTTATCCATGTTATGCCATGTAGTTCAGCATTCCTTTTTTTGACTGAACAATATTCCATTGTATGAATTATATTACATTTTGTTTGTTACTCAGTTGATGAATATTTGGGTTGTTTTCACTATGAACATTTGTGTACAAGTTTTTGTTTGATAACAGTTTTTATTTGGGGTATGTATCTAGAAACAGACTTACTAAATCATATGGTAATTTTGTGTTTAACTTTTTGAGGCACTGTTAAAATATTTTCCACAATGGCTATGTAGTTTCTATGTCCAGCAAACACAATACTAGACTTCTAATTTCTTTACATTATTGTTTTCTCTTTTTAAAATTTTTGCCATCCCTTTTGCAGTAAGGAGGTACATCTCATTGTGGTTTTTGATTTTCATTTCTTTAGTAATTGATGATATTGGATGTAATTTMATGTGTTTATTGGCACTTGTATTTCATCTGTGGAATAAAGGTCTTTTAAAGTCCTTTGACAGTATTTTAATTTGTCAAAGGTGGTTTGTCATTTTGTCACTGATTTCTAAGGGTTCTTGACATTAGACTATTATCTTTTCTTCTCTCTTCCTCCCTCTCCCTGATACCCATATCCCCTATGCCCCTCAGCCCTGTGTGCAATATATTCATTCTGAATACTAATCACATAAAGATTTGCAGATTTTTCTTCTGTATTGGAACTCGTCCTTTCATTTTCTTCATACTGTCTTTTAATATACAACATTTTTAAACCTTGATGAAGCCTGATTTATCTATTTTTATTCTTTTGTTGCTTATGTTTTTAATGTCATATCTAAGAAATCATTGAAAAATCTCAAGTCAGGAAGACCTATTTCCTTCTTAGAGTCTTATAGATTTTTTTTTAGATCTCATGCTTAGGTCTTGATACACTTTGAATTAATTTTTATATATCCTCAGAGAGAATAAGTGCAGCCTCTTTTATGTGGATACACAGTAGTCCTATGACCACTTGTTAAAGATACTTTTCTTTTTCCATTGAGTGGTTTGGAACATTTGTTGAAAAACCTGTTGGCATTGGAATAGGTGTTTATTCCTGAGCTTTCAATTCTGTTCCCTTGTTCTATATATCTGCCATTGTGCTAGTACTGTTTTAATTATTGTAGCCTTGTGGTAGATTTTGATATTAGAAAATACAAAAATCCTCCAGCTTTGTTCAAGTTTGTTTTGGTCATTTGGCATTTTTTTTGCAATTCCATGTAAATTTTTAGGATTAGCTTTTCTATTTGTGAAATAGGCCATGACATCTTGATATAGGTATGGCATTGAACCTATAGATCACTTTGGGAGAAATGTTCCCATCTTAACAGTATTAACATTTTACATTACACAAAACAGATGTGTTTTTATTTAGTTCTTTTACTTCTTAGTAAAGTTTTACAGTTTTTAGTGTATGAGCCTCATATCTCCTTGGTTAAATTTATCCCTAAGTATTAGAGTCAATATGTTTTTGAAGCTGTTACAAATGGAATTTGATGGGTGGGGGATTGTTCACTGATAATGTAATATAAACTTATTTTACTTGGGGATATTGCTATGAATTTATGGAAATAAAAATGTAAGAATATTAACTTTTCATTGTATGCTGTATTAGTCAGCACCCTATCATTATAACAAAATAACTGAGATAATCCTATAAAAAAACATGTTTATAGTTTGTGTATGGGCGGGTGTTCTAATCCATAATTATTTGGCCTTGTTGTGGACTATTGGGGGTGCCAGATGACAGTATTGGACAACATTCGATGGAGTAAACTGCTCACTTCATGATCAGGGAGAAAAAGAGGAAAAGGAAGAGAGGCCAGCGTAGCATAATCCTCTTTYGGAACATGCCTCTCCCAAGGACCTTCTAAAGTTTCTACCACCTCCTAGTAATACTGCCCTGAAATAGTGCTACCCTGAAGTATCATTGTTCTTTAACATATGAACTTCGGAAGGAAACATATCTTAACCATAGCATGTGCCAAAAAGTTGGGTAATCTAGAAGAAAAAGAAAAAAGTAGTAGAAAAAAATTATTAAAAAAGTTACAAAACTAACTCAAGAATAAATAGAAAATCTAAATAAACCTATTAGCAAGTTGGATGATTAAATCAGTAATTAAAAACCTCCCAATATAGAATAGTCCAGGACCAGATGACTATATTGTGAATTCTGCTAAATATTTATAGAAGAGTTAACATTAATCCTTCTCAAACTTTTCTCAAAAAATTGAAGAGGAAGAAACACTTCCCATTTATCCTGTGAGGCCAGTATTATCCTGATACCAAAGCATAAAAGAGAAAACTACAGATAATATCCCTTTGAAAAAAAATATATATACAAAAATCATCAGCAAAATAGTAGCAAATAAAAATTACCAACATAGTAAAAAGATAATACAGCGTGACCAATGGGATTATTCTCAGGAATGCAAGGTGGGTCAACATGCAAATTAATAGTAATATACCATATCAACAGAATGCAGGAGGAAAAATGCATTCATCTCAGTTGATGCAGAAAAGCATTTATGAAATCCAGCACCCTTTTCCAGATAAAACTTCTTAGCAAGTGAAGAGCAGAGGTTCACAAGCAGGGAACAGATGGGAACTTTCTAAATACAATGCAAGGTATATATGAAAACCTAACACTAATATGCTCAGTGGTGAAAGACTGAAGTCTACTTTCTAATATCAAGAATAAGGGRAGGAGCCCACTTTTACCATTTTTTATTTAACATAATCCAGAAACAATTAAGCAAGAAAAAGAACTAAAAGACATTTAAGTTAGAAAGATTGAAGTGAAATTATTTCTATTCATATATAATAAAATCCTAAATATAGAAAATCCTAAGGAATATTTATTATCAGCTAATAAATTAATTCAACAGAGTTGTAGATTTGATTATCATTGTTCGTGATTTTAATAATTGATTCATCTCTTTTTTTGTCTTAATCAGACTAGGTAAAGGTTTGACAGTTTTTATCTTTTCAAATAACTATTGGTTTTGTTTATTTTTTCCCCTGTTAACTTTTCTCCAATCTACATTTATCTCCACTCTCATCTTTATTATTTCCTGTGTTCTTCTAGCTTCTGCTTGACTTTGCTTTTCTTTTTCTAGTATTTTAATATATAATATTAGAAATTGCTTTGACATACTTTCTCTTTTCAGTGTAAGCATGTGTATAAACTTAGCTCTGAGCACTGTTTTGTCTGTATCCCATACGTTTTATATATTATGACTGTTTTTGTATGTCTGAAGTATTTTCTAAGTTCTCTATTATTTATTCTTTAATCCATTGGTTGTAAGAGGATGTTTAAATATCCACATAATTTTCTCTTTTCCCAGTTTTACTTCTATAAACTGTTAACTAATTTCATTTCATTTTGGTCATAGAAGATATTTTATATAATTTCAATCTTTTTTAAATGTATTTTTTTAGATGTTGACAGACCTTTATTTTATTCATTTATTTATATGTGGTGCTGAGACTTGAACCTAGTGCCTCACTCATGCTAGGCAAGCACTCTGCCAATGAGCTACATCCCCAGCCCCTAATTTCAWTTTTTTTAAATTTATTGAGTCTGTCTTACAGCCTAACATAGCGCAAATGTGTTTTTTCCCTCTCACAATTCCTATTGAGACTTAATTTCCCAGTTTGATAGTATTGAAGTGGTAGAGCCTTTAAGAGAGGGGTGAGTAGGTTTTAAGATGTGTTAATGATATCTCTATGGACTTCTAGCTCCTGTGGCACTAGATTAGTACTCAAGACAGTAGATTGGAAAAGTGAGTCTGTCATGTACCCTGCATCCCTCTAATGTATGTGTTCTGGCTATTTGATGCTACCTGCCATCTTCTAATGCAGCCAGGGAGCCCATGCTAGATACCATGCTATTTGGACTTTGCAACCACAGGAATTATGAGCCAAGTAAATGTTTTTCTTTCTGTGTTACCCAGCATCAGATATTCTGCTGTATCAATACAAAATGGACTAAGACACTTAATAAGAATTTGTTTCCCTTAAAGTCGCATTGTAACTGTCTTCCACAAATTTTGACATGGTGTATTTAAATTGTCATTCAGTTTAAAATTGCTTTAAATTTCCTTGTCATTTTCTAATGAATTTTTTTGAAATGTACAATTTAGTTTACAAGTTATTTGTTTCTAAATATCTTGTTATTATTGATTTCTAATTCAATTTTGTTTTCAKAGAATATAGTCTATGTTATAGACTATATATATAGATTGAGCCTCTTAAATTTACTGAGACTTGTATTATGTCCTGGCATATAATCTGTTGACTGTACCATGTGTACTTGGAAAGAGCTTGAATTTTGCATTTGTTGGTATAGTTTCTTTACTTGAAAGTGGTTGATAGTATTTTTCATATTTATCTTTTTACCATTTTTTTGTGTCTAGTTCTATAAACTGCTGAAGGGGAGGGGTTTTATATTAATTGATATTAGTGTGAAATTCTTCCCTTTTTATTTCTTTTAATTTTTGCTTTACATATTTCAAAACTGTTATTGGCACAACAGGTTGTAATGATCTCTTTGTCTGATATTTGTCACTCCTGCCTTGTTATTCCTAGTCTTTGCATTGTTTATCTTTTTACATACACTTTCAATCAAAATATGCCTTTATATCTAATGTGTGTCTCTTGCAGACAGTATACAGTAGGGTCTTCTTTTTTTCATCCACTCTGCTAACTTGWAGCCTACAATGCAATAGTTAATGGTAGGGTTCAGAAAACTCTGGCTTGCAGACCAAGTGGCTGTTTGTGTAAATAAAATTTTGTTGAAACAGAGCCACACTTTTCAGGTATGTTATCTACGGCTGCTTTTGTACTAAAAGACAGAATTGAAGTTGTGACAGATTATATGGCCCCCATATTCTAAAATATTTTTTGTCTGACCTCTGACTTAGACCATTAACATTTTGAAACATGATTTCTGATAGAGTTGGATTTAGGCCTAGTACCTTATTTGTTTTTGTTGGTATTTTCTGACTTTTATATGATAGTTTTCCTTTTCTTCTTTCCTGCCTTCTTTTTAAGTGATTAATCTTTTTCAGTTTTATAATCTAGGGTTTATAACATAGCATCTGTCTAATATATAGCATCTAATCTTTCTACTTGTGATTAATATTGTACAATTTCTAGCATATTGGTGATGGTGCAACCTTGTAACCATCTGCAAATCACTTTAGTTCCCCACACTGTATATCTCTGTACTTTGAAAACCATACCTGACCATGTTAGAATTTTTGCTTTCATTAGTAACACATATTTTAATAAAATTTAACAAGAAAAATAATAATATGATGAAAATTATTTTTAGTGTCATTTGAGATTATATAGGTTCATTAAGGTTCCATTTTGGCAGATCGAAATTGACCAATGGATGTTATTGCTGTTGTGCTTTATAATACCCGATCATTTTACTTGAGTAACCATTTGAAAAAAGTCCTACATTACCAATTTACTCAAACAATTTTCTTTCTTCCTTTTCTTCCTTAATTACTTGGCTTCCTTTCTAAGTAAAAGGGAAATTAGATGTGGCAGGTGCTTTTCAAACTTTTCTCCTTCTCTTTTGCATAGATGCTATTCATGATTTTATAAAATAATGGATAGTTCAGGGAAAATTAGAAAGAAATGAGCAAAATAGTGATCTAGAAGAGTTTTATTTTTTACAACATTACATTTAATGTTTAATATCTACAGAGAGAATTAAATACAGCAGAGATTTCCTGTTGAAGCTCTCAAGTGTTTCCATCTGCAGGAAAAAACCAGACTTTCTGCCTGATCATCCCATTGTACTTCAAAAACCAGTATGTAGTTTCCTGATTTTATATTGTAATATTGTATTCCAAGTATTTGTCTTTAACATTTTCATTTTATCATATCTGTAGATTTTTAACTTTTTTTTACTGCAAAATATTAGTGGTCCAGCAAAACACAAAAAATCTAAATGTACAATGTAAAATAAATATCATTGTACTCAAGAACTAGAATGGAATAATTACATTTTGTTAGTGAACTATTTTTCTATTGAAAGATCATGAAAATATCATTCTATATTCTTGAAGTTCTATTTTGGTTTTCARTTAAGTTCTATAATTCACTGTATGATATGAGGTGGGAGGGTCAAGTCTTTATTTTTTTCCCCTCTATGGATATCCAGTCATTCTGGCAATTTTTATTGAAAAGGATAGTCTTTTGACACCAATATGGCAATATATGCATGGTCTCTTTGCAGACTTTCTAGTCTGTTGATCAGTTTTTAATGTGGTAAAACAAGTCATACCASTTTTTTTTTCAATGTGTCTTTGCTGTTCTTAGCTCTTTATATTTCTATGTAACGTACCAAATTCCATCAGAATGAATATATGCAATAAATATACATCTTTTAGGATATTTATTAGAAAGGACTTGGCATCATCTGTAGGTTCAGATTGTATCTCCACTCTGTGTACTGGAAGTTCAAACTTGGACAAGTCGCTTAATCTTCTTGAGCTACCAGTTTGCAATTACAGATAAAGATGTCAACCCCTCCTAGTTAAAATTTAAGTATGAGTGGGCTTAGTATGATACCTCTCATTATGTGATCAGTAAATGATTTCTACCCATTATAGTCTCTACTGATGTTTGACTGAAATTTGACCTTTTAAAAAATGTTCTTATAGACACTATTTTATACAGGTAAGGGCAACTATGATTCTGTCCTGATTAGACTCACAATATAGGTGTACTGATAATGGCTCAAATATGAGATAGTACTACCTTCTGTTTCCATTTTGGGGATACTAACCCTTGGAAACCATAGTGTTTATCTCCTAAGTAAAAATATTTTTAAAGTTTTATATTGTCATAGTTTTTATTAATATTTTGTAATTTAAACTCCATAATAGAGACCTCTTTCTATTCTTAAAATTAATTCAGTCAGTAAATTAAAAAAATATTTTGTTATAAATGGACAGAATACCTTTATTTTATTTATTTATTTTTATGTGGTGCTGAGGATCAAACCCAGTGCCTCATACATGTGAGGCAAGTGCTCCATCACAGAGTTACAAATTAGTAAATATTCTTAATAATATTGCTCACAAAGGAATGTTTAATGAGGAAAAACATAGTTGACGATATTTGAGTCTCCTCACCTATTCATATAATCCTTGGTCCATAAGAATAAACATAAACACAGTGCTATATAAAATAACTTTTTCATTTTCAGACTTTCCAATTTAATAACACTTTTATTTTATAAATAAAAGTTTGACTTATACTTTCTTATGAACAAACATACATTAGAATAAAGTTTTCATTTATGCATTAATAACATTTATAAAACTAACTACTACAGAAACCCAAGAACAGATTTGTAATTCAGTTTAATATATTTAAAAATGAATTACATAGGTTTAGTGAAACAGAACTGTTTTATTTGACAATTTCAGTTACCTTAATAGTTTCTATAGTAACATGCATTTAGATCTGTAAACACATAAGTGGATTCACAGTATTTGGTTTGATAAACTAATTTGTAAAAACTACTAAGTTAATCTAGTTGATGATTTAACTCTTTCTTCTATATTACAGGAAAACAACCAAAGTTTTAAGTAGCATTTTAAGAACAGATGAATATGAAGATAAAGAATTATTCGTTTTATATTTTGGACACCTGAAAATGAAGTGGAYCTAGTAACAATAACTGTAATGGACTGTGACAATTCAATTTATTTTTAATTTTGATGGTTGGCTATTTGGCTTCTCCTAAAATGAAAAAGAGATATTTTAATCTATAAAGAATTTTCTAATCAGTTTCAGCTTTGCAGGACGTTTCCTGCAAAAATTGGGAAATAACACTGGAAAGTAGGAATTTGGTTAGTGAAGTGGGAAGACTGTATAATTTGCATGCTACTTGCAATTTTTTGTTTTTCATCATTTGTAATAATGGAATGGAAATGTAAGCTGTAAAGATTCTCAAATATAAAGTATTTGCTACGATGTATATATGGTACATAATTTCTTGTTGCTTTAAAAGTTGCTTTTGTTCTGTTTTGCACTGATTTCCTACCAGTGCTTAAACAGATCATTACATTCTCTCCAAAGGCCTAGAATGATTTGGGGTGGGCAATATATGGTTGTCAATGACAGGAGGGAGAATTTTTTTAATAGACATTTCTTTTCAAATATGATTGATGTCTAGGTTTTTGATAATAACATTGTCTTAGATTCGTAATTACTAGCAGAGATTGACAGTTTAAAAACAGTGGTAGTGAATGAAACTGAGGTTGAAAAATAGCTGCTACTGTTTTGGCCATGTGAACAGTGGAAGTTGAGCAATTACAAAATAAAACTGATACTTTTATTTCCAAAAGAGGAAAAATTTAGGCATTTGAAAATAATTGAGGTGCATTAAGTTTCAATTCTATAATTTCTTATAATAAGAACATATATTGATACAGAATTTGGGAGTTTGAACTTTTAATAAGCCTTCTGCAGTTTTTCCACTCTGGATGTTACTGTTATTAAAAAAAAAAGTTTCTCCCAGCATAGTGTCAAAAAATTTGCTGATCTAAAGGTAAGTATAAACTTTCCTTACGCCTATTTTCTCAGATCCCTGGGTCTGTTGATGTTTAAGGCCATCATTTGGCAGAAAATTTATCTTTCTCTAAATGTGAACTCCTAAAACCAGAACCTTTTCTTTAGTGGTTTTTGGGCTTGTTTATTCAGATTCAACTTTTAGTCCATAGGTAGGTTTCCCATCTTGCTCTTTCACTACCCTCTTTTTCATTATTTTGTTCCTCAGAAAATGGATTGTTTTTTAAATAGGAACAAAATACCCTTCATTAACCATAAATATATTGCTTACTTTTAAATGAGATATTTATTCTTAGGGCCCAGTTTTTTTWATTTGTGTTTTGCCCTACTATTTCCTTTTATACTATATATAGGTCCAGTACACATGTGTATGTGAACACACATACACACATACACACCCATACACATATTTACACACTGACAAACATAGAAAAATGTACGTCTAAAAACTGGGGTCAGAATTACCATATAATTAAATTGGTTTGCTTTATTATTTTCCTATTCTCAAGTCCTTTACATTCTAGTTTTAAAAAGCTGGTAGAATGTATTCCAATTTGCAATCTAGAGAGTCTTTCTACTTAGCACTAGTATCAGGCAGAATCCTTTTTAGTCATACTTACCAAGCTACTTTGGAAACTGCCTCAGACCCAAAAGACTTGATATGCTTTTTGAGTTGGATACTGAAATGGACCAACCAAAGCAATGTTTTGATTTGTTATTAATTGTATTTTTGAAACCATTTAAAACAAACATTTTCAAGAAGAGTTTGTATGTCAGAAGTCCCTTAAGTTTCAAAGTCTTGATCCTTTCTTACTACGTATAATCAGAGTAAGAGCACAAAGACTGTTTTATTATTGCCTTTGTACATATGTATAACTTGTCTGAATAATCATTGTACATCTCCATTAATGTTGTTCTCTGCTTTGTGTATTTATTAAAAGAGTTGAGTCAGGTGTTGTTTCCTAGTGCTTGTCATCTTTAAAACTGACCAGAAAAAAGAAATGAMCAGAGACAGACAGACACACACACGTGTGCACATGCATGCATTCTAGTCAAATTTTATATTTATGAAATAAAATTTTAATTTTAATTCATTCTCTTTTTCTTTTGTTTTTCAACAATTAAAAAAAATAGGAAAATTTACCTTACAGCTTCTTTCCCTGAAGGCCCAGGATTTCAAAGGAATTTGGACTAAGAATAATATAATCCATTTCTAGTTGTATTGCATTTTTACATTAAATTTTTTTTACATTTTTTGTATTGCATTTTTAAGCTGGACTTATGATCAGAATAGGAGATTTTTTTTTTTACTAAAAAGATTTAATTTCTAAGCTTTTGTAGAGAAGGCAATGTAAGATTCATAGTTTCAGTGTGGAAATTCTGCCCTGAAATTATTGTGCTTGTTTTATATTTCCTTTCTATTCATTTCAGTTAAAATTTTATTTTTAAAGCACTGTATTTTGAAATTTTATGGCATATTGTTAACTTTTTTTATGAAAAACAGATATTAAATGTAAATATCTGTTTTTCATAAGAAAAGTTAACRATATGCCATAAAATTCGAGTCAGATTTTGCCAAAGTAAAACTCTTCTATGCTTGATAATGTTTAACTTATATACAGGGAATTATGAAGCTAATAAATGATACTATCGTGTTATATTACTAATTGGTTGCCTATCTTATCACAGAATTATACATTCCTGAAAAACCAGTTTATAACCTGACGCACAAGTAGAGATTCTATAGATTAAAGCCAAGATTGTTTTATGCCAATGTACTGACTTTTTAAGTAATGTGAAGAGAATAATCATAGGATCATGTATTGGGAATAGAGTAGATGATATTGAAGAATAAGCCTCACCAAGAAAATGTTACTAAAAAATAAATGGCTAGAGCATTGATGTAACCCTTTATAGTGTAGGGCAATTTGTAAAATCTGTCCTATGAAGTAATATTCTAAAAGTAATGTTTTCAAAGGTTTTTCTTTGTAATTTCKTTTCACGACTTTATATATACTTTTTTCACACATTAGGATTTTGTCACTAGATGACTTTAGGTTGGTAACAATGTAGCAAAGCAATTACCATCAAATACTGAGAATTTTGAAAATTGAGCTAAAATACACACGAATGATGATACAGATTATACTTCAGAAGAGTGCACTTAAATATATTAAACAAAAATATACAGTAAATTAACAAAGTTTTCTAATTGACACTTTTGATAATAACACTTGTTTTGCACTTGGAACCATAAAGAAAATGTCTAGGAATATCTAGTTGTTGTTCAGGACCCACCATGAAGCTGAAAAGAAAAAAATATAGTTTTTAAAATAATGAAAATAACTTTCACAGCAAAGAAAGTTCAAGTGGTAAAGGGAACATTCCCTCTACCTTTAGTCTGCCTAACTACTTATCTTCCTAGTCACCACTTCCAGACTCCTTCAGTCAAGATTGAATTCCCCATATGTGATCGACATTAGTATTACATCTTTTGGCACTTTGGTGCAGTCCAAAACTTTTTGTTGCATACAAATAGAGCTTGTCTTTGCAATGAGATTATAAATGCCCTGATGATAAAAATCATATTGCTATTTTAATCTACCCAATACTGACAGAATTAGGAAAGATACTTCTGTATGTAATTTCAGAAAATCGAGTTTAAGCAAGTGGAAGTGTTATAAGTAATATTTTTAGTATATTTTTTATTTTAACATTGGAAATGTTTTCCCCAATGAATATAAATATTCCAAAGACAAACCCAAAGCAAAGAAGTATGGTTGGTGGAATGATATGAGAAACACAAATAGAAAGGAATGAATGTGCTTTTGAAGCTATGTAAGTAATTTGCTGGCAATGGGATTTTGCTTTCTTATGTATCCACTTGTCTCATAACTACAGGCCTTTTTCTTATGCCAAGGAATATTCTGCCCCACAGACTGAGTTTTCAAGCCCCCCCCCACTTTTTTTCTGAGTGGTTTGTGATAGCTAATGTACCTGTACTGCTGTATTCCCGTTTGATTCATTTGACAGCATTTTGCATTTGAGTGTTCATATACATATATTTTCATTTACATTTTTATATCTGGAATGCAGTCTGGTTTAGTTGCCTTATTTCTTGAGATGTATCTTAGGTAAACTAGTAAACTAATTAAAAAGCTATCTTATTAAAAGTCATAATTCTGAATTAAAAATAAAATCTCTTGTGTTTTTAAATGTAAATTTTTTTCTTTTGGATTTTAATTTTGAGTCTAAATATGTGGAGGGTAATATATATTTTGTTTTTATTAACCTTAAAAACCATACATCACATAAAATGCACAAAACTGGTTATTAAAAATAGTATTAAAAATCAAGGCAATTGAAACCCATAACTAATGTTTATGTTCGAATTCTAGATTTTTGTTCATGTCCTGCTGTTGTAACCATAAAACTTTAATTTAGTTGGGCACGGGGATGCCCTCCTATAATCCCAGTGGCTCAGGAGGCTGAGGCAGGAGGATTGCAAGTTCAAAGCTAGCCTCAGCAAAAGCTGAGGTGAGACCGTGATGACTTTAGAGAAATAAAATACAAAATAGGGCTGGGGATGTGGGTCAGTGGTCAAGTGCCCCTGAGTTCAATCCTTGGTACCCCCCCAAAACAAAACAAAACAAAAATCTTTAATTTGAAAATAGAGTGGACTGCCCCATTAAATGTTAGACTTGTTGAGTTAGATTTAAAAATTGTGTTAGAAAAGCCTGACTTATTTTTGATCTATCAAATTCCAGTTATCATTGTTGAAATTGATGGGATATGAAAATAAATGCAAATACAGCAGCAATTAAAAGGCATCAAATTTTACTGAATTTTGTTCAGAGAACAAGAATTGATCCAGTTTTATTTGTGCTCAATTTTTCTAAGTTAGGAAATTGAAAGAGGATGGAATTTATGAACCACTGACTAATAATACACAGAAAGTTAATCCAAGGTAATGATGAAGTGATTGAAGTTGGGCCAGAAAAATTCAGATTACTCTGCATTTCCAATAATTGCAAATAGCATCCCCCTCAACTGTTAACTCAATAGCCTCCCTTCCTATACTCTTTTTCTACTTGATTTGTGTTCAGGTGTTTTCTGATCTAGAAGGACTTAGGACACCATTAAGAACAATCTTTGTCCCTTCTTTCTGTTTTGCTGAACCAGTGGTTTCAGAATTGAGAGAGCTGAAAAATGAATATAATGGCAGATACTAAAATGACAAATGTAGAACTTTTGGGAAATTTTTTTTTGCCAAAAGCAGTGCATTTATGATTATGTCAAAGTCCATATTCATTCCTTCACTTAGGAAGCATCTTTGTTTTTGTGCTATACACAGTACTAATACTGTATTAGAATAGGTGATATGAAGATAAATAAGATATAGATCTAGTTTTCCTGCATTCTTTTACAAAGGCTGTAGCAGTCATGTTTACAGATTTAATTTGTGTTCTAGGCCTTTGAAAATCCCCACTTAGAACAGACTGTTCAAGCTGGAATAAGCTAAAGCTAAGCTAAAACTTTCTTTGATAAAGGCAGTCACTGAAATCTGTTCCTTAATAATTTGCAGCTTTGCCCACCTGCAACCTTTCTTCAAGTTGTGGTGCCCTTTAATAGAAACTGCATGAGTCAAAAGTGTCCATTCAGCCATGTCAGACATTTTAACCATATTTATAACTTTCTTATTGGAGGATTAAATTTCAGCTCTAAAGTGAGGGAAAATTCTACAAATCTACCATTTTCTAGCCAGATGGACCCATGCTTAAGAACCAGAGTAAATGCACTCCTAGCTCAGGCTCAAACTGTAAGAGCCAATGTGCAGCCACTCRCACCTGATCTCCTTGTATCCTCACCCAGCTCTAATTCCAGATTACACTTTCCTCACTTTTATTTGTTCCCCAATTCATCAAAATCTGTCATTTAAAATTTTTGCCACTCTATTAAAATTACTCTTGTAAACCATGATTTTGTCAAATTCTATCTTCAGCCCTGTTTTCTCAATCACTCTACATGCTCCCAAGGAGCACGTAAACTTGCATTTCACTCTTCTATTAACAGCTTTTTTTTTTTTTTGGTACTGGGGATTGAACCCAGGGGCACGCAACCTCTAAGCCACATCCCCAGCCAACCCCCGMTTTTTAAAAAAAATTCTATTAGGAGACAGGGTCTCACTGAGTTGCTTAGGGCCTTGCTAAATTGCTAAGGCTGGCTTTGAACTCGAGATCCTCCTCCTCATCTCCCGAGTAGATGGGATTACAGGTGTGCACCACCGTACCCAGCCTATTGACATCTATTATTACTCCATCTATTCTCTTCCTTTGATTGGTGCTCCTCAGTCTTCTGAATTAAGGAGGTTTTTCTTTCTCTACCAGCCTTTTACAGAAAGGCATTTTCCTAGATTTCTCTTAGATATTTTGTTTTTAGTCACACACCTTCTCACCACAACTGGAATAAGCTAAAGCTAAGGCTTCAACCTTCAGTCTTGTAGTTAACTTGTGAAAAACTATCTGCAGGTGAAGTCCCAAACTTTTCAATAGCACCTAGTTTGGGTGCTCTTCTTTCCTGGGACAGATCGTTGCCCTGATTAATTTTTTTTTTTTTTGCCCCATGATGTCCATCTGTCTTTGTTCCCATCAGATAATTATGACTATTGTCTGTCTCAGAAATTTTCAATGGCTCTAATTACTGTTCAGATGCTTCATAACATATTCTCAGCCTAAAATTCAGACTCTCTCTTCCTTACAAACTGTTAGATAGGTAGTAATCACTCTCTAAGTTCACAAAGCATATTATTACCTCTAAAGGTAACTTCTCTTTTATGACCCGAACCAGGTTTTGTCCTGCAAACAATTCTCTTTGCAGATATTCCTGTCAGACTGGACAGAACACTTTATAGGTACCCTCTCTAGCTTCCAGCACAGTGCTCATTCAGAATTAGAGCTCAATCATGCTAGTAAATAGACCAGGCACCCCAGTAATCCCAGTACTAAAGTGCATATCAAATTTGTGTATATTTGATAATTGTGAATGGATGGGTGAGATTAACAAATTAATTTTTTGTTCTTAAGTAAAATTTGACCAGACTTCTTAGACAATTTTATTTCAAACCTTCCCTCTTTCTCTTTCCTCCAGTTCTCCTTTCCCCCAACTACAAAAATTATTTTAAGTTATTCTATTATAATAAAAATATTTCTAATCTCTAGCCTATGGGTCACTTATTTTTAATTGTATTTCAAATTATAATAATAATTATAGTATGGTAAAGCATTTGAATAATTTTTTTAAATGTCATGATTTGACTTGTATTTCAAGATGAACAGTTAACCAGCAAACCACTAATAATAGGTTTAATATAGCCAGCAATACAAATAGGGCCAACTAAGAACTAAAGGCAAGCAACAAATACCTCTTCTTCCCTTTCCCGATCCCCAATTATAACATATATAAAGAAACAATAAAGAGAACACCATTGATAAAGTGTAAATGGAAAAGAACATACTATTTTTGAAAAACATAAGACAATACATAAGGACACAAGAATTTTGAATCCAGTATAATTACCAGGAACTAGCATAGTAGATGTGAGTTCTGGAGTTTCCAAGAAATCCACGTTACTTCTTTGGAATGTCTTGCTATAATTCGTCTGAAGGTGGCTGTATAAATGATTACAGGTTAAAGCTCTGTATTTTTATTTACAACTTTCCTAAAATAGAGTACAGCAGAGATCAAATTCAATCAAGATGGTAAGCTTTTGATTGATGTGGATAAGGAAGTAACCTGGATAGAGACTTTTTAAAATATTTTTTTTAGGCTTAACAAAGACTCAAGAGTAATTTAATAATTGTCACCAGAAATCAAGAAGATAAAACAATAGGAAGTGTGATTTCTGCAAAAATTTTTAACATAAAGTATTTTGGCCATAACTGGTGTTTAAAAAATAGTATAACTAAGAAAAGAGGGTGATAATTTTCCATCCACTGAGAATAAAATGAAATGAAAACCATCTATTGCATAGTGTAGGCCTGGAAGCATGGAATTGAATAGATGGCTCTTAAGACTCCCTCCTACATCGAAACACTAAAATACTATTTGGTATAGTTTTGCTTTCATTATAGCATGAGTTTTTTTTTTTTTTTTTTTTTTTTTTTTGTTGTTGTTGTTTTTTTTTTTTTTTTTTTTTTTTTTTTTTTTGTTGTTGTTTTGTCTGCAGTGCTAGGGATGTAGCCCAGGACTTGCTAGGCAAATGATCTGCCTCTGAGATTTAACTCCAGTCCTTCAAAATGCCTTCTTTTGAATCCACAAAAATAAAATTTCAAGGTGAAATATGTATCAACTGAATTTCCAGGTGTTAATTAATTCCACTACTATATTTAATACCTTTACAACATGGGTTTATTGGAGAGCTATATCTTCTATACCATTTAAAACCATCTGGAACTGTTTATATCAGAATAGCAAAAATTTCTTTTATTCCATTTTTTCAAATTATACATTTATTATTTATTGGTAATCATTTTCAATTAAAAATTAATTTTTTTCATCTTTGACAAACAGTGCCTTGACTTTTCCCCTTTATTTGTGGTATTTAAAGACATTTAGGAAAATTATGATGGTCTTAGCCATTAAATGTAGTCTTATTATAAAGTAATAACCAAAGAAATTATGAAGCTCCAATGTCACCATCACCCCCACTTTTCCTTAGACACCCCTGCCCCTATCAAATTATTATTGTCTGAAAGCATCAGTAAGATGGTAAGACTCAAAGTGTGGGGGTCAATACCAGAAGTATCTGTGCTTAGAGGGAAGTGTTTTCCAATCCACCAAATAAACTCCCATAGTGTGGGATTCAGGGTAAAGGTCAAGACTTTTTAAAATGAGAAAAACAGAATGAAGCTTTTCTTACAAGTCTCAAAATTTCCCCATGTTTATAGCCACCCTGGCTTCACGAAACAAATTAGCCTTGCTTAGAACTTACCTGTTCCACACACTACTGTTCTCCCAGAACTCATAAATCATATAGCGGGGTTCATTTGAAAGCTTCTGTATAGAAATACTGAAAAGGAAAAGAAAAGGCATAATTAGCTGCTGGAATCAAACTAATTTTTCTAATCATCTCTAGATGTGTTATGAAACAATCTTGTCCATTTGTATAGGTGCTTGCAGAAAACTGAACAGTCTGCTTCTGGCAATAATTGCTTTTTCAAATTGAGGAAGATAAATTTGTTCCTTCCAGATCTTTGATGATCTTGAAGGTGGGTCAAAGTCTATAATATGTTTTAGAGGAATGAAGAAAGGAGGCTAACCAAAAAGACAGGACTGTGGATTTAATCTTGTAGCAAGGAGGAGCCACTGAAGGAATTAGAGGGGAAAATGCCACAGTTTCAGTTGTGTTTTAAAAGATCCTGCTGATGGCACTGTGGAGTATGAATGAAGAAGTCATGCAGGTAGTGAGATARCTTAGGTGAGAGGTGATAAAGGAATAAAGAAGGGACACATTCATGGGGTAGAGAGAGAAGATGGGAGGGGAGGGGAGGGGGGATAGTAGAGGATAGGAAAGGTAGCAGAATACAACAGTTACTAATATGGCATTATGTAAAAATGTGGATGTGTAACCGATGTGATTCTGCAATCTGTATTTGGGGTAAAAATGGGAGTTCATAACCCACTTGAATCTAATGTRTGAAATATGATATGTCAAGAGCTTTGTAATGTTTTGAACAACCAATAAAAAATTAAAAAAAAAAGAAGGGACACATTCATAAACTGATGAGTGGGAGATAAGAAGATGTATTTAAAATCTTACAATACAGCTTTTTTAGCCTAATGTTTCATAATATATTCTAGAAGTATCTGTGAAAAGCAAAATGAGGGGTTTGGAAAACAAGGGTTTTCAATTTACCAGTAAAACAGTTAATGTAGATTTAGGATTTACCCAAATATGACCAGCAGGTGGCAGTAAACACACACAGGAATTTTATCATTTTTCCCCCCTTTAGTTTGCCTGTGCTCAGTTTTTTGGTAGTTGTTTATCAATTTGGTTCATTAAGGCATAATATAGTCAATATTGTTACTACCGCGACTTTAGATTTTTCTTGTCATATTTGTACGATCAAAATAAAATCTTTCATTTTCAGGCCCAAATTACTTTAGATTTTTCTTGTCATATTTGTACGATCAAAATAAAATCTTTCATTTTCAGGCCCAAATTACTTTAGATTTTTCTTGTCATATTTGTACGATCAAAATAAAATCTTTCATTTTCAGGCCCAAATTACTTTAGATTTTTCTTGTCAAAGCTTTACTAGAGGGTCATGTGTATTGAATTAAAAATGAAATTTGTGATTTTCTCATCCCAAGAATTCATGAATGAGCTCTTTACTGGGAAGATTTCTTAAAATTTCTGCAAATTAATGTACACCTATGCTTTTGTCTATTTGCTTTAGGGTAAAGTTTAAAATACTCAGCCTCGCATTTCAGGATCTTCGGCTTTCTCCTGAAAACTAATTTGTACTACTTATTACACTGAAAATCCACTTACCATGCTATCTGAACCTTTTGTTTTCTGGACTAGCCATGAGATCATAAGAAATTCACAAAATTTTGTCATAATGATAAAGTTTTTGAAGGCCTAAAGATATCACAGTGTGATATGGTAATGGTTCAAAGAATGGCCCAATGGAATTACCACTCGTCACTGCTGATTAACTGTGTCATCTCAAACCCATTACTCAACCTGTTTCCTCCTCTGTGCTAATGGTTTTATGAGGCTTATAGGACCCTCATTTTCTCTCCAGCCTCCTATCTGTGTTTGTGCTCTACCTTAAATCACAGGGCCTAACTAATGAAGAAAAGACAATAGGACAGTCCCCTCACTTCTCCCTATCAAGCTCAGGTCACCAGTTTACTTTATCTACCTATTGATGGAGGGTTATTGTTTTATGCACACCCATTAGTTCTTAAGGATGTCTCAGGGTTGGTTGGAATAATATAATCCACATTCATGACATGAAGTTTTGAACACATTCAAGTTCTAGAACTTTTTAGCTGAGAGTGACTATGGAAATCATTTTGTCTAACAATTATGAAACTTTAGTACAAGAACATGGTTTTCATTGTTCACTGCCTTCATAAATGGAGATTAGATTCTAAGATCTTTGAAAGCAGAAACTTTCATTTTCTGGTGTCAAGCTGGTTTTGAAAGTATACCATGTATACCACAGTTCCTCAACACCAAAACAGGGATTGAACAGCTTTAGTGATTACAAAATAAGTGATGAACAGCATCAGATTTGTGTGTGTGCACGCACACGACACATGCTTTTGTGTGTTATACACTGGTTCATACAAATGATGTGCTTCTGTGCTGAAGTCTTTCATTAACAGCTTTCTAAAACCTCAATTGACTATTATGACAAAGCTTCTGTCAATTCTCAAACATCCAAGTATCCTAGTCAAATATGTAAGAGGCAAAAATGTCTCTAATTCATTTGCCTAAATTTAAGAAAGCAAGACCTTGTGTTAATTGGAACAGGAAGGATATTGTGTATTCTACCACAGTTTGAGAATATCTAAAGATGACCAAATGTTGACAAGTATTAAACACAGGTTTCAGAGTCAAACTTGGGCAACTTGTTTAACACACATGAGCTCTGTTTCCTTCTAAGCTAGATGGAATAGATACCTCTGATGATTGCTGGGAAGACTAAGTCAATGGATACAAGATGCCAAATTTTGTAAGTTCTCCGTAATTTCTATTGTATATGATGGCAGCATTCCATGTCTAACCATGGTGAGACTAAGCTAAATACTATGAGAGAAGAAACTGCAAAACTCTGATAATCCACCGAGCTTTATTTTGTTGGCCAAATACAAGGCAACTGAATGGGGCCCATGAAGCACAACTGACGGCATGAATGGCACTTGACTTTTCATCAATTGATACAGGTAGGGTATGGAATTTGATTAACGGGGGCAGCTGAAAACTTGACTTTAGACAGGCACACTGGCATAACGTGTTCCCACGTATTCCATTGAGTGTGGTAATTCTCTGATGCTCATTCCATCTGATAGTCTACACTCTAGTAATTCCAGTCAAAGGAAAATTAGCTGAAGCATCAGCAATAAGAAGTGAATGGAGAACCATTAAGAAACCAACCAGTTTTGCAAAGGAAAAGGAGAAGCTGAGTCAATTTATCTTACAGGAAAAGGATGCTCTCTTCCCCTCTCCTTCACAGCAGGAGCTGATGGAGCAATTTTTCATGGTTATTGAGAGGACAGAGTTTGCAGCAGGCAGCAGAAATCTATCTACTCTCTCATACTTCCACAGTCTGTTTTCCTCTCCCTGGGGCCATTCTGGTGACTTCAGGTCATGTTCCCAACACACATTAATACAGTACTTTTGAACCTTAAAAAATGAATCTTGTGCCCTTTTTATAATTGTAAAACATCTCATCAATCCCTGGAGACTGTGATATACTGAAAAGGACTTACCTTCTTCATATCCTTACTAACCAAAAAAGAGTTTACTGAATTCTGCTTTCTGCACTTTACACTGTGGAAAGTATACATGGCCTCCTTTTGCATTTTCCAAATATTTGATTTTAAAAACTATGTCTGTCCACATTGGTAAATATCTAGTTACTTAACTAAAAGGACTAGAATTGTGGTTTTTCATTTGTGACATTCTGAGACTGATGTGAAGTAGGATAACACAATAATGGAAGCTCAGAATTTCCTGTGTCTTGTAATAAAGGGACTGCTGGGGAGATGGGAGCTGTTAATGACACTGAGAAAATACTCAGAGGGATCAGCACAGAAACAACAGTACAGTGACCCTGCTCATGTTCCATGTCTTCAGTGGTGGGAGGTATGGAACTATCTCTCCCCATGCTCACAGCCATCTCATGGGGCTCTTCATGAGAAAACTGAGGCTGAGAGCCAAGAATGGTATTTTCCCAAATCACAAAACTAGGGCAATCCTGTGTTTAATTCCAGAGCCAGATTTCTTAGCTGGGAAAGTATTCTGCTGTAGTATGAATAAAATATAATTAATCACCGGAAAGAAAAGCGAAGCACCCAGAGACATAAAGTACGTGTTTATATGCACACGCACACTCAGATGCACACCCACATAAACACACATCTGCTGAAAAGCTTTCCCCATGCAATATTTGAAGAGAATTATGAAATGCAGTTTAACAGGCTCACAAGGTAGGGGTAAATTTGGGTGAGGAAGTTTTCTAAATGCAGGTGAGTTGGGGCAGGGTTCTGAGCTGCAAACAGAGCACAGGCCTGCAGAGACCTGCGGCTGGGTACACATCTCTGGAAGGGTGAGTGACCAGATCTAAGGCACAGTAAGAATGAACAGATTATGCTGGAAAGTCAATAGACAGCCACACAGGTATAGGTAAGACAGTGTTTTTTAGGTAAGGGGAACAATTGATGGCAGTGATACGGATTCCTGGGTCTGTTGACGGGGTAAACATAAGGTCAGGACAAACAGCATTTGATAAGAGTCTAATATTCGTTTGAGAGTCACTGCAGGTTCCTGATTAAGGAAATACTGTAACTGCTTCTGGGAAATTATTTTAGTAGCTGTTTATTGGACAGATTGGAACAGAAAAACTCAAGATGAGGGATAGTATATTTTAGTAGCCTCAGAAAATAGAAGCCTGAGCTAGAGTAGAGTAGTGGCCGTGGAAAGAAGAGAGGAAAAAGCCACTGCTGCTTTTGTGAAATAATCAAGATCTACTCTCTTACTCCCCCACACAGTCTGCTTCCCTCTCCTGGGCCTCTTGCGTGGCCTCAGAGACCCCTGCAATTTCACGATGGTGGAAATAGTCATGAGTCCACAGGGCATGCTGCATTCAAGGCTTGATGCCCCCGAGTTGAGACCACATCTACAGAGATGAAGTTAAATGAATGCTGGCTGAATTTCAGTCTATTTGAAACTCCTCATTCAAATAGTTCTCCATCTGATGTCCCTTGATGCCCTTAATGATTAAATCAAAGCAGGGTCCAATGATCAAAAAGAAAATACCCAGTTAAACTCTGCAAAGGGCATTACCCAGAGGGCTGGAGACTCAGCATAATTTAAAATAAAGATTTTCAAATGCTTGTCTTCTGGGCTGCACCCTCATCTAAAGTGGGAAAAGCTTTCACCTGGCGGGGCAGGGTCAGTCAAGGTCCTGTGCAGGGGCACTTACCGCAAGCAGCCACTCTGGGCGGAAGCACTCTCCACGTAGTGTTTCAGAGCCAGCTGGAATTCTTCCAAATCCTCTTCTATCACAGACATCTGACGCTGCACGAGCATGATATGCTGGTGAGGAAAGGGAGAGGTTACTGAGGTGTCTGTCAGAGCCTCATTCAAGCTGACCCCTGATGTCCATCCTACCCTCCTCACAAAGCCAACAACCATCATCCAAAAGTGTGACTGAGGAAGCTCATGACCATTCCAAGTAAAAAATTATAACAAGGCTGTAATATAGGGGGACTTTTTCTTGCCTTTAGTAACAGAAGGTAAAGAAATAATGCATCTTCCTTTTAAAAGCAGTGATGCAATTAGGATCATTGGGAAGATTTTAAAATTACTTTTATGTCAGAATTTCTGGAATGGGACCCAGGCACTGATATTTTAAAAATTTAAGTTCTAATGTGCAGCCAGGATATAAACATTGGCCTAGAATCACTTGCATAAATAAACAGAGAAATCCTATTGTATGCTGCAAAGCTCCAGCTTCTTAGATTTTTATGATATTAGACATATTGTAACAATCATTACAAACAATCAAATTTCAAAAACAAGTGTTTACTGATGCATTTGCAATGGTGCATCAACTATTAACAGGGGTTCACAAACATATAACCCACTTACAAGAGGTCCTGTTCAAAATGCCATGACATTACATAGAGGCCCTGTTTAATGGATCACACTGGGTTGGATGCCACCTGCTTCCATAACATCCTATTACCATTACAGCAATTGTAGTTTGAAGATTTGCCTAAAGATCTTCCTGGGTACTTCTAATGGAATTTTAGATTTCAACATTAGCCCTTTCTTTTTCTTCAAGGTTTGCAAAAAAAAAAAAAAAAATGAAAGTGCAAATAAGTATAAGAATTGGCATCAATCACAAAAGTAAAAAAATAAAAACAACAATGCAAATCTTGAATATAAAGAAAATCATTTTCAAAGTATTATCAGCCATTTAGCATAAGAGCTAGCATAAACCCCTGGCCTATTATCTCCCATTTCAGTGAATTTATCACTTCATGTTAATAGCTATTTGTTGAACACCATTTTTACTGCAGTCACTATGTTAGGCATGCGGTGCATTTCAACAAATGTTTCCACTTTGTGACAGGTAACTAGGTGCTGGGTTCTGGGTATACAGTGATGGATCAAGATAGAATCTCATCCTCAAAGGGCTTAATAAAAGAATAAACCAGGCCAGAAAACTTAAGTAGTAACATTAGGTGTGGTAAATTGTAAATTGACCAGAAGTCTACCAAATTTTTGAGATGACTGTGTTGTTAAAGCTTGACCTCAATCTTAGAATTCTTTGTCTGTTCATGCCTTAATATTATGTTTGGGTCCATGGGTATATATGAGCAGTAAGCAGGCTATGAATAAAGCATCCCCACCTCCACCAAGAGGGGTAGTTCTCCCCAGTGGGCTGTTTCAGATGGTCATGGAGGATAATGGACCAGGAAGAATCTTTGGCAGTAAGAACAATGGCAGCAGGGGTCCTCCCAGAATAGAGATCCAGTGTCTAATCATAGATCTCCCCACTGAAAAATACCTTCCCAGCATGAATTCATCATTGCAATCAACCAGTGAATGCTGTTTCCCATTCATCCCTTTTCTGAATGGCAGTTTTTATGAAATTCATCATGGCCCAGTTTTATCATTGTGTATTCTTTCTCTGTCTCTCTGTCTCTCTGTCTCTCTCTGTCTCTGTCTCTCTCTCTCTCTCTCTCTCTCTCTSTSTGTGTGTGTGTGTGTGTGTGTGTGTGTGTGTGGTGGGGAGGGATAACTTACCTTGTTCTTCATTAGTTTGTCAGACCTCAAGGGACTGCATCCTAACCTTACAAAGAAGATTAAACATCATCCAAAGACTAGATTTTGAGCTAGAAATATTAACAGTAGGAAACTTTGGGTGATCTCCCTTGAGGAGGGGTCTGTATGTGCTCTATATGTGAAAAGAAGGATGCAAATGAATATTTGGTGATCAGAAGGTGCAACGTGTCAGATTCCAAGTATGCTCATTCTTATTTAGGTATGCTGCTGGACTCTGTATTACATCCTTCCCAGCAAATAATAATGTAATTGTTTGATTGTAATCTGGTCACCAGACATTCTGTGTGCTACTGTTGAGCCAAGATGTAAGGATTAGAGCCTCATCTGCATTCTTTTCTTTCCTTTTTGCTGGATGGATGAAGATCTAACTGAGGGGTGGGCTAGCCACAGATCAGAGGACCTTGGGAGCTCTTAATTGTTTTGTGGACTGTTTATTGGACAAGGAACAAACTTTTGTTGTATCAGAACCATTCTCTGTGTTTGGATCCATTTATTTCCAAAGTCTACTTGGATGGGTTCAACAAGTTAACTAAGCTTGTTTAATTTTCTTTCAAGATCCAGAAAATACAAGCCTATAATTATCTCCTAATGTTCTGTGGTAAACAATCTGCCCCCTGTAAACTCTCCCAAGCCCTGGGTTTTAATATTACGAACTAAGCAGGGTTAAAGTTAATCTCTGCAAAAATGATGTGAATATGTCCTTTGCAAAGAAATCAGCACAGATTTCTTAGTTAGGCATTTGTGATTAATAATGTTACAGCTGGTTCTCATGGGCTTTCCTAATGAGATATATAAATATATCCACCAAACCACCATAATTCCTTTAATCTGAAGGCAATACTTATGTGATCCATGAGATGGGCTGTAAAAATGGCCAGAATCATTTAATATTCAAAGAGTTGAACCCAAGCTCTTTGAAGTGTGAATTTCCTGCTTCTGTCATTAAGACATGGATTCTACCCCCACCCCTTAGATCTGGGTTAGCTTTCTAAATGCCTTTGGCTGATAGAATGTAGCAGAACTGACAGTGTTCCAGTTTCAAGTTTAGTGTCCAAGAGACCTATTAGTTTCTACTCTTTCTCTTGGATCCCTGAGACTGTCATGTAAACAACACCTGCCAGAAGAGGGATCAGGAAACTTTTTCTGTAAATGGACAGATAGTAAATATTACCTGTTTCCTGTTGTAATGATATGGGTCTGCTATTGTAGAGTGACAGTATATAAACAAATGGGGATGGCTGAATTCTAATATAACTTTATGTACAAAAACAGGTGGTGGGCTGCTATTTGCCAACCCTGGTACTAGAAAATTAACAACCACATAGAGCAGAGCAAAGACCCTACACATATGTGAAAACTCCATCAAGATCAGCAGAACCGACGTGCAGCTGACTACAGATACCTAAAAAAGGCCATTGAAACCATATGAACCATTCCATTGATCCCAGGTTAGATTTTTAACCTGCAAAATTGTGGTTATTGTTTTAAGCCATAAAAATGTTTAGGGTGGGTTATTATACAGCAATAGCTAACTAATTTTCTCATTTACACATATTGTTGAGAGTATGATTTGGAAAATTTAAACACTTGGTTTCTAGATTTTACTTTGCATCCTAAACAAGTCATATCTCTGTCCTCCATTCCTCAGATTTTTACACAAGACATAAATTTGTGAGGCACAGATAATCTGCCTAAGTTTGACTTTTTATAGTGGAGCCTTTTTATTAATATTTATTTTTTAGTTGTAGTTGTACACAATACCTTTATTTATTTTTATGAGGATTGAACCCAGGGCCTCGCACATGCTAAGCGAGCACTCTACCACTGAGCCACAAAAMCAGCCCACAAGCAGAGCCTTTTGAGTTGTGGGTTATGAGGTTGGGAGATACAGGGAAAGAGTCCTGCTGTCTTATTGGCATTTTGGAATATCTCCTCTGTCAAATATACAGCCTGAAAGCTTATCAAAATCTGGTATCCCAAGATACCAGTGCTCTGGTATCCCAGAGCACTCTTCCATGGTAAGATATTCTTTCATGATGCTACATTTTTGCTTCTCTGCTATAGAAGGGTAGTATACCTTTATTGTTTACCTTATGGAAATTTGTTGCACTGGAAATACGATGAAATGCTTGGAATTTCTTGAGCTTAACCGTGTTCGCAGAATTGTACTTGCCAATAGCATAAGGCATCTACTTTTGATTTCTTGGGACATTTCAAGAAATGTCACCTGTTTTAATCTTGGAAGACAGATATCTTAAATGCAACTTACTTTTTTAATGTTACTAGCTCTATTTACTACACTTAAAATTGTGTTCCAAGTATGTCTTCAGAGTTATCACAACCTTTCCTGTAGCTTCTAACTGAATCTTTTAACAAGTATTGCAAAGCAAGACCATGTTTTGATAGTCCCCAATACGTTAGTTGGCAATAGCCCCAAACACTTAAGGGCTATGGTGGAATTAATTAACTTCACAAGACATTATATACTGGCTTGATAAGGGTGGTGAGGCACCAATAAATATTAGATTTGTACCAGTGATAAACTCTTTTGGTGTAGACAGCAATGTGTAAAGAAAAGTTTGAGTTTCTGAAAAGCACAAGAATGTGCTCAAACCTTGCTTAAAATCATCATGACTTTTATTTTTTATTTTATTTATTTATTTATTTATTTATTTTTATTATTGGTAGTTCAAAACATTACATAGTTCTTAATACATCATATTACACGGTTTGATTCAAGTGGGTTATGAACTCCCACTTTTACCCCGTATACAGATTGCTGAATCACATCAGTTACCCTTCCATTGATTGACATATTGCCTTTCTAGTGTCTGATGTATTCTGCTGTCTGTCCTATTCTCTACTATCCCCCCTCCCCTCCCCTCCCCTCCCCTTTTCTCTCTCTACCCCTTCTACTGTAAATCATTTCTTCCATTTGTATTATCTTGTCTTACCCCTCCTTTCCTCTTATATGTCATTTTGTATAACCCTGAGGATCGCCTTCCATTTCCATGCGATTTCCCTTCTCACTCCCTTTCCCTCCCACCTCTCATCCCTGTTTAATGTAAATCTTCTTCTCAAGCTCTTCGTCCCTACCCTGTCCTTGTTTACTCCCCTTATATCAAAGGAGTCATTTGGTATTTGTTTTTTAAAGATTGACTAGCTTCACTTAGCATAATCTGCTCTAATGCCATCCATTTCCCTCCAAAAACTCCTTTTGAATATAGAACTAATCTGGAAAGTGATCATCATGTCCCAAGAGTTCTTTGGTAAGAAGTGCCATACAAGGCACACAATGGTAATAGACAGAAAAGATCCAGGTAGATCAATTGGCCAGACCCCGGTGCTTGTTCTGGTTTGGGTGATTCCTTTAAGAAACTCACCTTTACCTCTAGTTGATTCACACCTACTGCTTACTGCTTGACATCTTCAAGACTATAAACTGTCCCTAAATTTTCAACAAGTATTAAAATCATGGCTTAGGGACCTTCGGATTCAGATTTCTCCCTTATGTATGTTTATTTCCTATTAGTCTATAGCAAAAATAATATTGTGAAGTAACAAAGTTGTGGTCTTTATAATATACTTACTTTTAATAATTTGGAACATTTTTATGTTTTTATATATTACTATAGTGTTCTTTTGGTACAATGTTAGAACAAGTCAATGTGATACATACACATACCTATATATAATTTTTCAAAAATCCCACATATTCTTTCTGGTTTCTGAAAGCATTCTCTGGACCCCTAGTTTAGATTGTGTCTTCCTGCTGTGCAAAGATATACTTCTCCATAGCAACTTTCATCACATTTTAGTACAGATTCTTATTTAATTGCCTGTATTTCCTTTTAGTTTGTTTCCCAGACATATTTACCATTTTATCTGCAGATCCTCTCACCAGACCTGGCACAAGTTATTTGTAGAACAAAGAAATAAAAGATTTCTCTTTCTTTTCACCATCAACTATGATTGCGTAATAAATTTTATATATTTATTCATTCTAGAAGAGAATTTGAGGTGGCCCTGAAAACTCAAGGGCACTGCACAATTTCTCTCTACCCCCAGCATCTCATCCTTTCTCTCCTTTCTTCTTTCTCAAGAGCAAGAGGTATAACTTAAAAAGAACTGGCTTCACTTTTACCTTGAACAAGTTACTTAATCTTTCATCTTAAGTCTTCTGATACATAAAATTGAAACAGTGGCATTTTTAGCGCTAAGTCTGGGAAGATTAGATAGAATAATGTATACAAAGATCTTGTCCGTAACAGGTTTGCAGTTTAGTGTCACTTCCCTTTTTCTGTGCTGAGGAAAAAAAAATAAGTGGGCTTAAAAAAGGAAATCATATCCTAGACTCATCATTATATAATGGTTCATTGTTCAGAACACTAGGTATGGCAGCTGCTAGGGTTCAGGACTTTCACTATGTGTTCAAACAAGCTTACTGAATAATCTGTTCTGCTCTCATTTGGGAAATCTCATGGAACAATCCTGTTAGTTCACAACTTCACTAGCAAAGAGCAACTGCACTGGAGTGGCTAGAAATCTACTGAACACTTGGGTAGGAAGTGAGACGAGGGGGTGATGAGTGTAGGTGTTGGACAGCTGGGGCTCAGCTCTAGTATTCAAGCCTCTCTGGACTTTAATTTCTTCATCTATAAACTGAGGTCAACCATAACAGCACCTTATTCAGCCACTGAGAGGATTAAGTGAGGTGTATGTGTGGGTGGTCAGCCTTGAATTGGCACATAGTAAAAGCTCAGTGAAGATTAGCTTTTAAGAAACAAAATGTTGCTGGGCATGGTGGTGCATGCCTGTAATCCCAGCAGCTTTGGACAGTGACACAGGAGGATGGAGAGTTCAATGCCAGCCTTAACAAATTTGAGGTGCTAAGCAACTCACTGCTTAAATAAAGTACAAAATAGATCTGAAAATGGGGCTCAGTGGTTTAGTGTCCCTGAGTTCAATCTCTGGTACCCCCCAAGATCCCCAAACCCCCAAATGTAAAGCAGATTTATTTTTTGCTTTCTAATGTGGAATTTGTTTTTCAAATTCTCAGGCATTCAGTAATGGAAAAGGAATAATCTCTACAGTCAATAAATTGTAAAACTGGTTTTTGGCCCCAGGATTGATCTCTAAATACTTAATGGGGTACGATTATTAGTACTAGCTGTGAAATAATAGTGAAAAATGGAAAACTGAATGTAAGAATTTTTATAGGGATTGATAGTAACATATGTAATACATCTAAGAAATGATAACATATTTTTTGACAAATATCTTATTGGTAATTCTGAGAAAAAGAACTGTTATTATGTATCTAATGCCAAAGAGCATAATTAGTTTACCTCTACCTCTATAAATGGTTGAAGATAGTTAAGGAATATCCCTTCCTGCTTCTAAACAGTATTGGCAACTAAATCACTTTGTCTACTTCTATTTTTCTTAGTGTATGTATCCCTGAATCAATAATGATAGATGTGTTGATCTTTTAGAAGTGGCAGTGGCCTCCCTTGTGTCAAGGCCAGCAAATGGCATGGCTGCCACCTCTCACAAACAACTGTGAAATTATTTTTTTCTCCCATAGAGGAAATAGTCTCACGTTAGGAAATTATTTAAAAATAGATCATTATCTCTTTCAATAAAGAAAAGTCATGGTCATTTCTTCTTGACTGGAGTATAGTTTTTCCTCCCTGCAGACCTATGAGATGATAACAAACACATGATCACAAGATTACCAGTTCCTGTGTCTATAGATTGCACAAACTGGCTCTTCTTGGTTTTCCACACCCCATTTTTGCTTCCCCACTGAACTCAATCACTTTAAAACCCAGGGCTCCTGATGAATGAACACAGACCACATCCTTGTCTTCATACAAATACTGACCATGTGAAAAAAAAATATCTTATGTCAGGGGAAAGTGTGCACATGTTCAGGATTCTAATGATAGTAACCATTAGTAAACTTTTCTGAGAATCCCCAGGGCTTCCTTTGAAGACTCTGTTTGTGTTCTGAGTTAGAGCAGATGGGCAGAAGACTTGGTTCATTGAGACCTTTTCTGAAGTACATATTAGGTTTCCACAAATCACAATTTAGCCATGCGAAATCAAACATGTCCATGTGTTACTTACTTTTTCAGTTTTTCACTGAGATAGTAAATAGTTTTTGAAGAAGTTAAATCATATCTTAAAAATACATATCTCTAAAATTTTGACCTGGAAATGTACTTACAGATTTAGTATTCCCGTCAATAATTTCTTCTTCCAGTGGTTCCAGTTTGAGATCCTTCAGTTAGAGGAAGAAATGCAGGGGTCAAAACCAGAAATAAAATAGTTGAAATCAACATCATATATTCATATGGTAGTTCGTTCATGGCCAATATTGAACCAAATGAACCTCATTCTCTGAAAGGAGATGAAAAAATTCTGATATATTAAAAACTGAGCTGTTTCAGTGAAGACTTCTTGTGCCCACTTATCAATTGCAAGGATATATTTCAGATATGTTCAACTCATTATTGCTTTAACTTTACTTCTGTGATATCATTAGAGAGCTAAGTGTAGGAGAGAGGTACAAGAAAACGGAGAAGCGAAGCTTAGAAAGGTTAAAAAAAAGAATGACTAGACCTAACAGGTGGTTTCTTTGGCTGTGAGTGCTGCCACATTTCTGTATTTCTTGGGAAGTCATTATAGATGATTAGTCTATTGTTATAATGTATTTACAGAACAGCATAAATATGGCTTTATTAAAAAAGAAAGTCAATTAAAAAGTAAATGAGAATACTTTTGATATTCACTAAAAACCTAGGACTTCTATAAAGACCTCAGCATCTTCTATGATTAGCAATGGCTAATAATAGTGCCCCCCGCCCATGAAACCACAGAACTTCATTCTATGAATGTAAAGCATTTCTTCCAAGTGAGAATTACACACCATAATTCTTTCAAATGAAGTCAGTTGAAAGTTCTAGAAATTCAGGCTATCTGGAATAACAGAGCTTGTTAATAATGAAGCTATGTTGCTCTGTGTGGCTCTCCTGTGGTGGGACTTTAGGTGAATGATTTAACTTGTATGGGATTCACATTTATCGTCCATTCTGCCTTAAATTCTCCATTCTGAGCACTTCCTCTAACTGCTGCATCTCATTCCTATCTCAGTTCAAATGTAACCTCCTTAGAGAGACTTCTTAGACCACTCACTTTGAGAGTTCCACCTTCCATCTTGATCCTATTGCCATACTTCTCCTTCACAGCATCCCTTATCTGATTTTACCTTGTTTCTTATATTTGTTTGTTCGTCTCTCTCTCCAGATACCAAAGATCCTACCAGTTTGGGTCACTGCCATATTCCCACTGTCCGAATAGTGCCAGTAGATACTCAATAAAGATCAAACAAATGAGTGGCTGAATTCATGCCCTATCTAAGTCATAACATTTTCATGAAGGAAAAATTAAATAATAATATAGATATATAGATATGAATTTAATATTAAAACATCATTCAACAGATGGAAACTGTGACATGGTAATTTCCCTGAATATTTTCCTGACACTATCTCAGGTACACTTTTCAGTTCTACCTTCTTTGATCTAAGGTATGAAAAGCTTAAAACAAATGGCGTAAGTGTGAGGTCTTTAATTACTCCCCTTGATGTGAGGATGTCCTAGGGTCTGATGATGATACTCTGAAGACTTCATGAAGAAGGAAGAGGTTTTATTGTTGTCTTTGTCCCTGTTTTGTTTAACATTAAAGGAGTTTTCTGCAGCATTCAAGYAAAATCTAAGGTAGAACCTCAGGACAGCCCATAAATACAGAGACCAGAAAGGACAGAAGGAAAACCTGAAGAAACTTGCAGGCAAAAACAAGTGTTGTTTTTTCTGCCACATAAATGGAATCGGGCTTGGTTTACAGTGTAGAAAGAATTTGTCATAAATACTTAATGGACAGAAAAGGCAGCATATGTTCCACTGCAGGCACACTGCTTTTTAATGGGGAGATCAAACCCAGAGCTAACAACTGCGGGAAACAAGGCAGTCAGCAGTGAGATGACATGCACTTGGCCACTGTTTGGCAAAATTGGGTAGTTTTCCTCTACAAAACTAATTCGGCACAGTACAGAATAAGTTGTAGAAGAAAACTGGACTTGGACTGCTTCTCACTCGTTAAGATGGCTCATGCTGAGCTCCACGCAGCTGGAGCCCAGGGCTGAAAACCATCCCCTTGTACTTTTAGCAAGCCTCCCAGACAGTTCTTGGAATAAAACCTCCTCATAGGAAGGGAGGGAGACAGAAGTCTGGGAAAGAAAGAGCTGTGACAATACCTGAATTTAGAATTGGAAAAAAAGAGAGAGAGAAAAAAAAAAAGCTATGACCTAAGTTTGATCCATTTCTTTAAAAGTAACTGCATGGATTTCAGACACCAAATAAAGGCATTTTTTTTTTTTTGCCAAGAATTTCAAAACCCCTTTAAAAAGAGTTTGGCTACTCTTTAAAGGAATCTAAATTTATAACAAAAGAATCTTTATATTTTTTAATAGGGTTTCGTCTTCAAAAAGGGATCCTGAATTTCCAGGACTTCCAACATTAGAAAAGTCATTTTCATAGYCAATGTTTTTTCATTTCAATTCACATGTCAATTAATGAAAAAGAAAGGAGAGTTGTTGATCTACAATGAGCTCACAGTTTAGGTATTTGTTCCATAAGTGGCCAATGCAAATTTAACAAAGATGCCCTGTCAGAGGGACTGGAGCTCTTTACAGTCATCTCCCCTTCACCTGACTGTTTGACAGAATCTCCTTTTCATAAGACTTTCCCATCCTTAGGACCTGAGTTTTCATTTGTGTGAAGTTAGCATTTACAACTTWTAACCTGTTAGCCTGGCTTCTTTCCTATTAACTGGGTATTTCTGTCTGGGTATCTTATTATACCTTGAAATAATGAATCTGAAAAAGTAGTTTGCCTTCTCATGACCTAAGAAATCATCTCTCACTTGTCTCTCCCTCTTATGTTCATGGAATAATTATCCCAGACATTTAAGCTCAAATCCTTAGACTCTGCCCTGAGTTCCCACCATGCCCATTCAATGGTGCTGTTAATTTCACTTCAAGTCCTTCAAATCTGCTGTCCTTCCTTCCTTCCTTCCTTCCTTCCTTCCTTCCTTCCTTCCTTCCTTCCTTCCTTCCTTCCTCCCTTCCTCCCTCCCTCCCTCCCTCCCTCCCTCCCTCCCTCCCTCCCTTCCTTCCTTCCTTCCTTCCTTCCTTTCTTTCTTTCTGTCTTTTTTTCTCTCACTAACTTGATCTGAGCCAGCTATTGCCATCCCTGAGCCCAGAGGATTTAGATGCACAAACCTGCTCTTTCACACCATAGTATAAGCTGGTTTCAGGGGGCTCTTAACYTAGTCTGCTCTAGTTTTAATCGATTTCCATTTTTAAAACATCCAATTTGCATCTTCCTACCTAATTTTTTACCTAAAAGATCTTTATGGTTTGTCACTTATAAATGGCTCTTGTTGTCTCCAAGACCAAGCCCACATCCCTGACTCTGTTACTCAAGGCCACTCATGATCTGGCCACACTCTGTCCATACAGCTTTCTTGGTCACTACTTTCCCAGATAAAGACTCTGAACAGAACGGGTCTATTTGTCTGATGTTCATGCCTTCACTGTAGACTGATGTTTTACTTCTTCATGGAAAGTATTAGTTTTTCATCAGTTTTTTAGTTGATTACCATTTATTCCAACCTAAATGATACTTTTCTTTGAGTGGACTCTCTTCTTTWTTTCACCCAGTGCTCTAGGACTTTTAATCAAGGTGTTTCCTTTTCTCTATACAAGAGGCCAGCATGAGACCATAGTAAGACCAAACTCTCGCTCCTGAGAATTGGAGGCTTGAGCAGACGGTCAACAGATTGGAAGTGTCTAGAACTCACTTATTCCAGTGGAGGTAAACTGAGTGGTTAAGTATTTCTTGTTTCCTAGATCTTTGGAGTTAGCTTATCTCCAGACTTTTCCTGAATTCAGGTCTCTAGACTATCTGTAGATTCTGTGGGTAATTCTATATCCTTCCAGAACATTCTCAGTTTCATTAAATTATAGTGGTGATTTCTGTTGCTTAGAATCAAATTCCTAATTGATTYATCAGTTTTAAAGTTACCCTGCACATGAGACCTTCCCAAGTTCTTGTGACCATTCCCTTAGGTGAACACCTGTAGATGTTAGCAACCTGCTGCATTCCTTTGGCATATCTCCAACAGTCAGCAAGTATTTGCTGAACGTTAGCTATGAATTCAAGTTTTGTGCTATCACAAATTTAAAAAAAGTGATCTTTTAACTTTCTTTGTGTCTTTCAGAATACAGCCTGTTTTTAACAAGTATATTATAGATTCTTTAAAGTTAGTGATTCTCTCAAGCATAAATATTCCTTCCTGGGTGTGTAACATTCACAGAAGACACATTTTATTACTGATTTACAAAGGCTGCCTCTACCATAAAACTGTTTATTACTATACTATCAGGATTGCTTGATATGAACTGAATTAATCAATAAAAATCATAATAGCCAGCAACTACTTAGTTTCTAAAGGGCATTTTATCACATCTAAACTTATTTATTGTGGAGGTTTAACACAAAATCATCAATTAACATGCTAAATTTCTAGAAGTTGAGTGTAGAATCTCATTTTTGAGCCATTTCCAGGACTCAAATTGACTTTGAGGACTTCAACTAGGTCATCTCTAAAAGCTGCCATTAGCATCATTCAAGCTACCCAGGACACTTGATAATCTAAGAACCAAGAAGTGCAGCTGATTTAGTTAATTCTCTACCCTGGATCTTATTTTAAATATAACCTGCAACAAGAAGAGGAGGGAGAATTAATGTGAGCATCTGTATTTGCTTTAACAAATAAATAAACCACCATGATTACAATAACAAAATTATCACCAAGCAGCCATTCTTGAGGTTGCTGGGGTCCTGTTATTCTATCCTTCAGACACCCATGGATACTGAGGCAATGAAGAATACTGGGTCAGAATAACTTGAAAAGTAGAAGAGAGAAGAAATAAAAGAAGCACACACCTTCTTTTCCAGTCTATCGATTAATTTCTGGAGTCTGTTGATCTGGGTCATCCACTGGTTGTCTTCTTCTAGCAAGCCTGGGGAGAAATCATGAGGGCTGTATGTTAAATGTTAGAGTAGAAATGCTTGGTTATCTCGCCTTTTACCCAGAGGGAAGAATGCAATGTCACTGACTTGTAAACACATTTTAAAAAATGTATTCCTGTGAGTATTTTCTTAGATATTGATTCACAGAGATTTGTGCATTTCACTGGGTTCATTTTTASGAGCCTGTTTTTTCTTTTCTTTACTTTTTAAAAAATATTGTTGTCTGTATTGGCCTTTGATGTTCAACAGAACAAATCCTTCTGAGCCAGTTTTACTATCCTAAAGGTAGTTGTTTCTCTTTTGGGAAAAAAAAAGGAAAGTATCAATCAATAATTGTAAACTTACTTGTAGGGCCCTGTCAGAAACCAGYAAAAATACACCTGTGACTGTAGAAGGTATGAATTGCTTCAATCAAAGGAAACACATGAGCAAGACAGCTGGTGCCTCCTTCCTGGGGACTAATTTGAGTATACAAGAACTCTGGTCCCTAGTCACAGCTTGACAGTGCAGTGAGCAGACGGAGACCATTGCTCTATATTCATTTTTAAAAATTCATATATATACTCATATATGTATGTGATATATATATATATATATATATATAAATGTTTGTGTGTATATATATTCATACAGAATATGTGTGTATCTAGCACCAGGTTCAACATTACAGAAACTCTATGGCTATTATTATTGTCATTACTATGCAAAGGCACAAAGGGAAGAGGTGTGGTCTGAGACCCTGCACAAATATCCTGGTTCCCTTGTGTATCTTTATTTCAACTTACTTAGAATATTTTCACAAGGGATTGCTGAATTGATATTATTTAATATTTCTTGAAATGAGCATGTGATTGAATCCAATAGTATAGGAAAKTATCCAAGAGCCATGTTTCAACTTGACAAGACCTTAATTATAAAGGAGTGGAGCTTTACATCAGAATTTACTTCTCTACCTCACTTCTCATGGGAAAACACCCCTCAAAGGCCACTAAAGAAATTATAACGCAAGAATAAATATTAGCACTGCCACAAAGGAGTGAGTATTAGAGAGGGGGAAAGAGAGAGGGGGTGGGAGAGGGCCAGTTGAAGAAAATGTTATAAATGTATAAACAAAATTTAGGTTTATTTTTATTTCACAAATTAGTTCATGTAATTCCAATCTAGGTTCTTCCTAAAAAGAATTTAAGATGGCTGACATATATAATGTCTCCAGGAAAAACATTTTAGTCTGACACCAATTTCCAARTCATAAAATGTAAAGAATAATCTGTTTCGCCTCAGAAGCCTAGCATCATCATTTTCAACTCAGACATGGCAGACTGTATTATTGTTACAAACTCCTCACTTTTTCTTTGGTACTGGGGATTGAACCCAGGGATGCTTAATCATTGAGCCACATCCCCAGTGCCTTTTTATATTTTATTTAGAGACAGGGTCTCATTGAATTGCTTAAGGTCTTGCTTTTGCTGAGGCTGGCTTTGAGTTGCAATTCTCCTGCCTCAGCCTCCTGAGTTCTTGGGAGTACAGGCATGTGCCACTATGCCTGGCTCAACTCCTCACTCTTTTCCTGCTGTGGAAGTATGTGTATGATACCCTTCACAGGCAACTTTGTAGTACCTCCCACTACAATGACAGAACACATTTCCCTCCCCATTGTTACTGTGACAGGTATGCGACTTGTTAGGCCAATGGAAAGTTAGCAGACAAGATGCACTCTGGTTTTAARTGTGCTTGTGTAGTTTTGGCCTGGCTTCTTGTGTTTCTGACACCAGTAGGAGGTGAAAGCTCTCCAGCTGTCACTTATCCCAGAAAGAGGCTAAGTGAAGAGCAGAACAGAACTCGACCTATAGTCTGGAGCCAAATCCAGCTGACCACAATCCAAATCAGAGTCTACCACAGGACCACGAGAGGCAAAACAAGTATTTGCAGTTGTAACCAATGAGATTTTGAGATTGTTTCACAATAAAAAGGGGACTAATACTCCATATGCTCTTGGACAGTTCATTTAACTTTCTGAGCATTGGTTCAACCAGCTGGGAAATGGAGAACAATGGGTAACATCTATAAGATGTTGGGGTAAAATAAGACTGTATTCAAGAAAGCAACCTGAAATCTTTCAAGTATAGTCAGAATAAATATAGGATATGGTTAGTAACTATTTTCTGAGTTTGCAGTTATTTAAAGATTCATTTGTGTTAAAATGACATGTTCAAGTGAAAAATGTGCATGTATGCCTACCTTATACAAATCACTCCAGTATTTAGCAACATAAGTTTCTTACTTCAGGTTGCTTTAAAACAATTAAAAATTATATGCTTAAAATGTAATAACCTAACAAGTATTAGTATTAGTCAATATTAATTCAATAAATCTTACGTTGCATTATGAACTTCAGAAATATCAGCGATAACTAATCCTAATGTGACAGAAGACAAGCATCCTTTCCCTAAAATGAACTTAGGGTATGCTCAGGGAGGCCTGGAGATCTGGAGACTCTCTATGTCAGAGTCTTAGAACTAGAGGACGCATCTTTGGGGTATGAGCCCATGGAGTGATTTCCTCCCTGTTCACCATCTCTGTGTGCTTCCCAGGCACAGCTGTGARGATCTGACAGTATCCCTACCCACTTCTCAAAGCAACCTTCACTGCTTCAGTTTCAAACTTATTTGATAGAATGTGTTCCCTTTTTTCCTACAGTCTGTTTAATGGTACACTAGAAAACGTAAATTATTTAGAATATAATGCAGAAAAACAACAAAAGCCACATTACCTGGACCACTGACATTAAACTGAGGGCTGTTGGGGGAGAAGCTGTTGTGCCTCTGGACCCGACGGCTCGATCGCTTGCCAGGCCACTGAATGGACAGGACTTCTGGCTTGGCTGGCCCTTGCCTGGGACAACAGAGAGAATGAATATTCAGCCTCACTGTCAGGCCTTCAGCACTTTTCCTCCAGGATCAGGTTTCCAAGCATCAGTCACAAAGGTTTTCTAGTAGACTGAAAGCTTAGGGGAAGTTCTGTTTGCAGATGTACTCCAGAGACCCAGGGCAATTAGTACAATAGCAAGTGAACCCAAGGAACAGAATTCTAGGTGTTCTTTATTCTTAAAATGAAAAGTCTAAGTAAAAACTATGTCTTCATTTGTAAATTAAGTAAAGCTTTCTTTTCCCCAAGTCATTAATGGGGAAAGTATCTGTGCATATGTTGCTGTGAATTTTGCTTCAATTGAGAACACCTATCATTTTTTCTTTTCTTAATTTATTTTTTTAATTTAATTTAATTTTTGATCCATGTTATGTATCCACATATTTTACTTTATTTTTTGTATATTTTATTTATTTATTTATTTTTATGTGGTATTGAGGATTGAACCCAATTCCTCACGTATGTAAGGCAAGCGCTCTACCACTGAGCTACATACAACCCCAGTCTCTATCCACATATTTTATTTTATTTTTTTTTTATCCACATATTTTAAAAGTCTTATTTCAACAAACCAAAGCACCTTCCTCCTATACCTAGACTCCACCCCTATCTTCTTTCACAAAGGCAAGAATTTTTAGCAAGTTTATTCTGGTGTTTACCTTTTTGTCAGTATCTAACAGCATGCTTAAATTTCCATCTTTTTTTTTTTTTAAATTTTAGGCTTTATCTATTAGCTTCTCAGTACATAAAGCTCAGTCCAATGCTATATACATGGAACTTGGAAAAACGCTGCTTCAAAGGATGGATTCAGTGGCAGGAAAAGTCTTTTTCTGTTCCTTATTCTTTGCTGGTTTGAATATAGATATGTCGGTTGGAATGTCAACAAAATCTTGGACCACAAGGCAAACTTGAGAATGGAAGACATTCATTTAAGATGTGAAAAAGGAAGAAGATCAATGGTAAATCTGTAGAGATGCCATGCTTGCCTTAGGCTGCCCTCACTAGCTGTCTTTCACTGGAGATAATAAAATTTTATGTATTTAAGTCACTATAGATAATATTTTTTTTCTGTTATAGGCAGATAAATCTAATACTAATTTACCCATCTAAAAATCTTTATTATCTATTAGCTAGGGAGTAAACCTTCAATTCTTCTACTCTGTTGGATTAACCCTCCCTCCTTTTCCTGTATGCCATTTTTCTTTTAGTTGACTCTCTTGTTTGGGTGAAAAAATATCCTTTAATTGCTTTATAAGGTCATATGGAAAAGTCTGGTGTTTCCTTGATAAGTTGTATATGACCTGGTTTTTCTCTCTGGGGATTTTTGCACACTTTGCCTCTAGAATTCTAGAAACTAATGTCCTTATTCTGAGAACTTTCCTTCAATCATTTTATAATTTATTGTTCAGTGGAGAAATATTCAGCCTAGGTCTCACTTTTCATTATTTTATAATTTCTTTCTTCTTCTTCTTCTTCTTCTTCTTTTTTTTTTTTTTTTTTTGGAAAAGCTATTTTGGAAACATTGGACCTCTTGGACTGACCCTCTAGTTTTCTTATTATTTCTTTCCTGTTTTTCATTGCTTTGTGGAGATTTCTTTACACTTTTATACTGAAATCTTTCTCAAGAGAATTTCATTTTTGCAATTGTACTTATAATTTCCAAGGGCTCCTTTGTGTGCTCTGAATGTCCTTTTTTAAAAAAGCATCCTGTCCTGAATTCATAAATGTGGTATAGCTTATTAGCTTTCTGAGGATACTGATGATTTTCTTTTGAAAATTTTCCTCTGATCTCTGGAAAATATGTTTCCTCTGTTTCTTTCTTATGTTTGATTCGTTTGATTGTGTCCCCACACATTTCAGAGGGAAGACCAGCAAGGCTGRCTGGGACCTCTGTGTGCATGGTGGGGATTGCCCACTCATAGTCTCCATCGTGGAGTGGACTGGCTGGGCCCATTTATCAGGGGAYCCTGATCCAAGGTATCATAACATCTTTTCTCTTGGATTAATAGATTCTTTGGAATAGCCTCCCAACTGGAGGGCATGAGCCTAACTATCAATAATTTGGAAGCTGAGCATGCAAAGGAAGTATTATAGTATAGGTCTGGAATGTTCTCCTATGATTTATATGTTGCTTGGTCCCCAGCTGGTTGAATTACGGGGAAGTGGTGGAAAATTTAGGAGATGAGGTCTAGTTTTTGGAGGAAGTAGGTCTCTGAGGAATTGTCTTAAGGTTATATTTTGTTCCCATCCCGTCTCCTCTCATTCTCTTTGCTTCTCAGCTGCCAGGAGGTGARCGATTTTGCTCCACAACACTCCCTGCCTTGATGTTCTGCTTCAGCACAGGCCCAAAGTGACAGCACCAAGTGACCATGGACTGAAACCTCTGAAATGGGGAGCCAAAATAAATCTTTCTTCTTTGAAGTTGATTTTCTCAGGTGTTTTGTCATAGCGATGAAAAGCTAACTAACATAGGAGGTTTCAGATCTACTGTTCAGTGGAGAAATATTCAGCCCAGGTCTCACTTTTTATTATTGTGCCCTGAGTCTCAATTGTGCCAGGTTTACATCTGCCTACCTCCKTGAGATAGTGCAGTTCCTGGGTTCTTTAGATTGAGGAGGGGCGATGATTATACAGCTTCTAACAACATGTCTGTCCTTACTCTCAGTTGCATCTGGCATGGGCAATTTTTGAGATTTTCTGGAGTTTCTGTGATACCCACTACATTGCATTGGTTCTTATGACATGTGCTTAAGTTTCAGGTTTCCAAATTTTTATATCAGTTTCCAACAGATTCATCTTTCCAATTTCAAGTTTCTGCTTCTCTGGCTCTTCTGTCCTTATTTTTGAGGGATAATGCTTTATATCCAAGTGCACTTTTTTTAAAAAAATATTTTTAGTTGTAGATGGACATACTATCTTTATTTTATTTTTATGTGGTGCTCAGGATCGAACCCAGTCCCTCACATGTGCTAGACAACTAGCACTCCACCTCTGAGCTACAACCCCAATCCTCCAGGTGCTTTTAATGTCGTTTTTTGAAAGGATTAGGGATGGAGCAAAAGAAATCATATATGTTTGATCTCTAATCTTTAACTGAATCTCTATGGATTTTCATGAAGCATAAGAGAAACCAACTTTCTGACAACTTTGGTGGTCACAGGAATAGGTGATTATTTCTTTATGTTCAAACTACAAGAATAGAACGGTGTGAAGCTTTATGATCACTTTTAAATTAAAGCTTTTCTGTACTTCTATRACAGACAGCTATTGAGAAGAGGAATATAACTTCCAAGCCCAAAAAGAATCATTCATATCCCTGGATGGAGAAGAATTCTGGAAAAAAAAAAAGATCAGACTTGCAGATTCCATTACACAAAGGAAATCCACATGTAATTAAACTGAGTTCTCAGGAATGTAGTTTGTGAGAAAGAGAGGTTTATGTAAGAAGACAGGGRTCCTCCAGAGGGAAACTTCAGTATCACGTAATGATTATTCTTGTCGTTGGCTATTAGGTTCTTCCCAAAGACATGGAATTAAAGTGGCTCCTGCTTAGTCAATTTGCCAGGACAGATACAAAGATTGTTATAGGATGCCATCTGAAAATCTCACCTCTGTGGCATTCCAGCTGTACACATCCCTTCTCTCTGAAATTGCCATTTTCACATGAATAGACACAGACATTTTGCCYAACACGGCATGTCTAACTCATTACCACAGGATGAATGACACTGGGTGATTCTGCACTGGGGCTGTGAGATAGAATAGATGACTTCTTCAAATTTGCTATCTCAGTAAGTCTTTGTATCTCTAGGTTTCACAGATATTAAATCTCAAAGTAATGTTGATGCTGAAAGGGAAGCATATTATTATAACCCTAGGGATTTTAATGAAGCCTGYGGGTTACAGCCCTTCTCTATGCAGAACATCATGGAATCTTTCTTTACATCATAGACTGATGAGTTTTGGGGTACACTGGTTTAACCTTTCTTCTCCACATGTGTTCTCTTCTCTTTCTCAAATGTCTCCTACATACATATTATTGTTTGATTAATTTTCCTTAAACCTTAGTTTTATTATATTGCTCTGTTGTTAACAACTATTAATGACAATCTCTGAAAGTCTGAATGCATCTGGCTATTTTTAGATCTTTTCAAATCCCCAAAGCCAGTTAGATTGGTCACTTTGCTGTCTCAGGTCCTTACCTACTGACTGCTCCTCCAAAGGGCTCCCTTTACCTGGAATTCTCTTGCATTCATTCAGTGCCATATATTTAAATGAAGTTGTACCAAGTGGAGGGAGACAATGTAAAATTCCTGCCATCTGGAAACTCAAAGTCTAATGGGGGAGATGAATAAGTAAGGGGATGAATAGATTTGAATAGAGGATACCTTGGGAGAACTTGCTAGAGAAGTGGGAGACATGAAATTTTCTTTTTTGAGAGCAATAAAGGCTTCCAGAGAAAGTATTTTCCAGTTACCAAACAAGCTACCAGGAGTCAGCCAAATGAGAGGTGGGTAAGATGGAATGAGTGAGGCTACTGATGGCTTTGTATCATCATTGTGCCATTCAAATCCATCCTAATGGTTCAACTCATCTTTTATCCCCATAATGATTTCCACTGGCATCTTGATGGACATCCTGGGAAAAGGACAGCTTTGCTCTCTGTTTCACTGGTGTGGGCCAAGGTGCTCTCCTCACTTTGGTTCTGGGTAGCTAGCCAATAGGAAGTTGTAGCCTGGGGAAAGGAGACACAGCCCCTTTAGGCTGGGGTTAATTCATGTGCTTCTGGTTCATGAAAGATTTCATATTGGATGTTGTGATCACAAACCCAGAGTGGTACCTTTTTAAAAATTTGCTTGTTTATGCATTTATTTAGAAACCTCCAAGAAGGAATATCACAAGTTTGGGGTGGGATTTGGGCATCTCTGGAAACCTTAGTCAAATAGCAGACAATAGCACTCTCCACACTGACATTAGACCTGCAATAGTTTCCCTTTGTTCAAGTTGGCTTTGAGCAAGAAATCTAGAAATGAAAGGTTCATTAATCCTCTGGTTTCTTCTACTTTCCTTAAACTTTGTATTATTATCCTCCTYTCCAGTACGCACAGCTGATATGCAGCTGTTGGCAGCAATCACAAGAGTTCAAGGCTAGCCTGTGGCCTAACACAAAGAACAGTTGCTCATTAAACATTCATTGTGTGGTGATAAATGCACAGAACAAGTTTGCAGGAGAAATTAGAGAAGGAAACCAGAAGTGCAGGTGAAGAGGAGGGTGGAGGCTTTTTCAACCTCTTCTCAGGTGGCAAATGATTGATTCTAAAAAAAGGAGAATCCATTTTATTTCCAGAAAATCTAAACAAAAGAAACAACAAAAGAGGCGTCACATTCTCATTAGGAACATGAAATCAATTCCATTGTGCTTCAAGACATTCAGTTATCTTMTGCTCAAAGCTGGGGATTTGGATTGTTGCTTTTCTAAAACTAATTGTTACATTTTGCCATTTGATATGAACTCACCCAACACAGCAAGAAGAGAGAATTTGTACTGTAAAGAATGATGCACAGATCCATAGAAGGGTGCATCCTGTGTTCATCAGCTGCACGAGCTCATTAAATTCAGGAATTATAGGCTTTTTTGTTAGAATTTGGTGGTGCTCACTCATTTTGACACTGTAAACACATGGTTGAAAATTTCACTATTTTTGGAGATGTCCTAATAATTATGTATCCATTAATTTGTTTACAAAAATTGGTCTTACAAAGCAGTCTATGATCAGCCTGTTCAAAAAACTTACTGTGTTGTTCTGCCCAATTTAGGATGCAAAATGTAGGTAAGGCACATCCATAGGTTTAAAGGGACATAGCAGCTAAAATATGTTGCAAGAGCAAGAGTTTTGCCACGCCCTTCTCTAGCTTGCAAGGTATGAACAATAACTCAAGAAAGCACCAACTGTTGGTTAGAATTATTTTCATGTCTGCTTTACACATTTATTACACAGATTTCTCTTTAGCCTTTATTTTTACAGATATTATATCATTTTTATTCTCAGTAAGACCTGTTGGTGGCACTGAATTTTGAAATCTTTCCTATTGTTTATTTTTCTCCATATTCTAAAATAATTAGGGTTATTAAATTCTCAAGTCTCTCCAGTGTATCCTGGTTCACTTAATCGGTAATGTCCTTTCTCATGATTTCTATTCATTTTTTTTGGAAGACAAGTCTAAATGTTGTAGAGAAACTCTATGAAATGGACTTKTATCCTCTGTCTGTATTTAATCTTTTACTTGTGCAAAACCCACTGGCAATTTCCCTCCCTTTTTCTATGATATTTATCATTTGGTACTATATAGCTTACTTTTGGTGTTCATTTCCTATTGATGCAATATATTTTAGACTCCTTAAGGATTGACATCATATTAAATGTATCTTAACATCATCCACATGTCTTTTAATGTCTTCTCCATCTATGAATTTTTAATGGATAATTTTTGAACAGTTGATGGACAGGAAAAGAAAAAGTGAATGATTTTTTWAAAAAAGCAAATAATAAAGCAAGCACCCAGTGGAGGTCCTTGTTATTCCTTTTAAATCTATGAATTCTCAGTTTAGTTTTCACTAGTATGAGTACAATGACCATCAACTGATTTACCATAAACACAGAGTTACTAAAGAGACATCGTATTAAAACATTTAGTTGCCTTTCTTGACGTGTTTGCTCCTCGGTAGTTTCCATGGCACATTCCAGGGAATTCTGGAGAGACTGCAGCTGATTCAATGTCTCCTTCAACAGAAATCGAGTCACAAATTGTTCCAAATTGGAAGCTTCTTGATAGTCCTAGGGCAACAAAACAAAAGCAATCAGAAGTATGGGGGTGGGGTGGGGAATAGCTTTTCCTCTGTGTACCCTTCAACCTGGGACTGATCCTGGAAAAGGAGGGTGGAGAGGAGGGAAAAATGTGATGGTCTATCCACTTACCAGAAATTGCAAGAAAGAACTGCAGAAAAGGCTGGATTAGATCACTTCTCATTGCACCTGTTCCTAGATTAGGTAAAAGAAACAAACCAAACCAAACCAGAATAATTATGAAATAGACATTGGTAGAAAAGGGAAACAATAATCTATGAGAAGAAAAGATTGGAGCATGGCTGCCAGGGTTCCTTCCATGTTTTAGTTAAATGATGACCATGCCACAGTATTGTTTTTTTCTCTATTACTAACAAAAAAAGTCACGTTTCAGCAATTGGTTTAATTCCCTCTTGATGTATTTATTATGCTTAATCTGTATTATGATGAATCCAGAGGAAATGATGCTGGTTATTTTAAAATTCAGTATGTTAGTCTTAGAATATTCAAATGGTTTACTAAATCTACTCATGTCCCTCTCAGTAATTTCACCTGAAGCTCATCTGCAACTGTCTTAGCCAGGAAAGCATCATTCACTCCTACAGCCCTGGGTCTACATGCAGATCACTGCRGTCTTAGTGGCAGTACTTGCTGAGTAAGCATTAATTTACAGATAAGTGGGAGATGTGAATTGTATCAACATGTAAGTCTACCACTTTCTTAAGTCTCAGGGAGAACCTAGGAGGAAAACCTGGTTAGTAAGAATGAAATGGCAACAGAACTGCTCTTTCAGTTCATGGGACCAGCCAGTGAAATCTGATTTTCTTTTCTTCATTGGGAATGGTATATATTCAAGTTCAGCCAAGGAAAAATATTTATTTGGTTCTGTCCCTAAACAAAACATTTTTCTTTCTTTCTTTCTATTTATTTATTTATTGTGGCTCAAAGTTCAAAACAGAAAGGACTGACATGACAAGATAATGCTCTGAGTCTTGTTACACCAGGGAAACACAGGGCATGGTTATAAATCCAAAAATAAAAACACAACAATAAAAACAAACAACATTTAGTTATTTAACCTCTCGAGGTCTCAGCTTTCTCACTTATAAATAGGCTAAGTACCTCCAGCATACAATCCAACTCAAAAATATCCTGTTTTCCTATTGACTCTAAGTTATAAAGCATAAGAACATGGCCTATTGTATCAATTTTGGAATATGTTCTTTTAGCAAAGAAATCTAATGTCATAGGGAAATCTCATTTCTTTCTTAATTTGAAATAGAACAAGGTTTCAATCATCAGTCTCTCTTTAAGCCCTTTCTTTTCAGATAAACAACGTCGAGATTTTTCTTATCTGCCCTATTAATAGCCTTATTTGAAAATTAGAAATTGAAGTGTCTTTAAATTCCATTTAAGAAAATAAACCATAAAACAAAATATTGCATGCCCTTAATTATAAGGATTTTTGATGAACTAAATCAAGTTAAAATATACAAAATACTAAAATTCATAGCTTACTATTACATAGCTTACTATTTATTGGTGATAAAAATTTCAAAAAAAATACTTTTCAATGTATTTTCTGAAATCAAGGAAAATTTTACTAGAGATAGAAGATATGTTGCTAGAAAAGAGCCTGTGTTTGACTCTCCAGTTATTTCCCTTTTGCAAATGCATATCTTTAAAAGAAAATTTATTAAAATAAAAACAAAAGATAATTGCATAGTCAGATATTATGCCAAACATATTTGCATCTCAGCATACACTATGACTAATCCTGAGCAAATGGTAAAAAGTTTTATACTGGTTKATAGGCAGCTCTGAAAAGTGAAAGAAGCATACATCTACTGAACAATGAAGCATAGAGTTTGCCTTATTCTTTTTTAAAATGTTCAATATCTGTCATTGGCATGTCACAGCTATAGAAAGTTAGCCAATTTAAAAACTTCTGTCACTGCAACTAGATTTTTGCTTCTTAGACCCAAAGGTCATGTCTTCAATGTCTGTATTCCTCATGGTGCCTTGAGTAGAACCTCATTCCATACCTGATTGTTTTGCAGATAAACTTCTGCCCTAGGAATTTATCACATTCCTATTGTGCTTTTAAAAATAAAGATTTTGATGWAAATAAAGCCAGAGATTTAAGAAAAGTTACAATCAGATAACTGGCTACGCCATAATTGTGCTATGGAGCAAAACAGAAAATCATCATGACACTTTCTTCTTGAATTGATGAGAGTTTACGCTCCCCACTTGTGACTCTCCAGATAACATTAAGAAGTACCCCATCCCCATTGGTAGACGTATTTGACAGAAATATTGATGCCTTGACATTGAGAGGGGGTGTTAGGTGGGGATAAGGCTCTGGAGGATTAAGTTTTTTGAATCACTTATAAAGGTTAGCTGCTATGTGCTGCCCCATGGTGATAAGGAGAAAAAARCCTTGTTTTCTAATATTCCCACTTATCCTCCGAGGCTTAGCTCATGGCACCGTGTCTACATCGCCTTTACTCTCCTGAACACTGTGAGACACAGTTCCTTCCCCTCCTGTGCATTCCTGTAATACTGCTTCTCTACCTAGGGCATAGGATTTGCCATTTTCTATTGTAACCTGTTGTTTACTTGTCCTTTCCCCCTCATTTTAGTTCAGTGCTTTAAGGGTAAAAGATTATGTCGTATTCATCTCCGTCTCCAGAATGCCCAGAACAAAGTCTGGCGCGCAGCAGCTGCCTCATAAATGCTTAAAGAATAYGTGAGGAACAGGAAACCATGTGGAGATGAAGGCACCGGAGGGAATGTCAAGCCCTAGGAGCTGCTCTTGCCCCTCACCAATCACCAGCTGTGCCCCTGCAGCTGGCCCTCGCTGTTTGTGATTGCTGCTGCCCAGCTTGCCTGGTCACATGGGTTCCACAATAAAGGGAAACACAGCTTTRCTCTTAGCAGACTGTTTGTCCTCATTTCATTTTCTGGACCATTTGCTGGTCTCCTTTCCTTCCCTTACTCTGGATCCCAAGCTCTGGGACTGCAGACGCAGGCGGCACAGATCCAATCTCCTTCCCTTCTTTCAGATATGCAGCAGATGTTCCTTTGGAAGGCAGTGGCGAAAGAAGCAGATGGAAAATTAAATAGATAGCAAGCTGGAAAATGTCAAAGCCTGGCCCTTTTTATTCTCAACAAATGTGTTGGTTGTGAAGATACAAAAAGAGATCTTTGCATTGCTAACTCCCCGGAAGATTGATACGTTGGTGTAAGACGCATGTTCCTTTGAGAGAATGGTAGAAAGGACATTTACTGGTCTAAGAAAGCACTAAAAAGCAATTGTATAGATGAAACACAATATCCAGATTCTGTCTTTATTTTTTTCTTTTTGCAGTTTATTCCCTCATGCCTGTGAGAAAGGATGTGGCCAAATGAAAGCTAACAGGGTATTTCTCAGATCTCAACAGCATTTATTCAAGTCATTGAAAATTGTCAATCACATTTGACAGTTGATATATTGGTTAACAAAGTACCATTAATACTTCCGCTTTTTTTGCAGAATGTAAACATTTCAATATTCACATTTCCTAAAGCATAGTACGTTGAAAATGAGGTTTCTTATGGGGACTGCCTATGCATCTTAATTGTCAGATCATTTCTCAGAAAGCAAGCTCTGCCCATCTGGTTGGTGGAAGATTGGAGATCTTAGTTATTAACCCACTATGAATCATCTGAGTTAATTAGGAAAATCAGAGCATCAGACTTCCTTGTTTATGTTTGCCCTATTTGAAAATTAATCAAGTTGGCGACATCCAGTCTAGTGTCTAGTCTAAGAAGTCAGATATAATCACGTTTAGCAGGGGGCACTGCTTCTAAATGCCTTCTGATCCACACTCGTGCAGTTTTCACCAATCTTGAGGCATCTGTGCTAGATTTCGAAACAGGAAAAAACTCTGCAAAGATAACGTTATCTCTTTATCTTTTTCTATCCTTCCTCAAACTGTTACTTTTTTTTTTTTAATCTTAACTAGCTTGCACACATTACCTATGTCCTACTTCTTTTAAAATATTCTTGGGTTTTCTTATTTTAAGTAGCACATTTCTTTCTTTCTTTCTTTCTTTCTTTCTTTCTTTCTTTCTTTTTTTTTTTTTTTACATTTTTCTCCAATCTGGTAGAATACCTTATCAAATTTGACTTAAAAAAAGAAAAAAATAAAGAACTGGTCCATAACTATCTTAAAAATGGACAAAGCTTAATCCCAGATATGTCTTTGGATCTTAGATGGCAAAACAAGAGATCCAAATAATTTCAGACTACAGATTCTCAAGGATTAAGTGAATCAGAATCTCAAATTAGTGAGAGCATGAGCAAGGTTATAATTTTGGAATAAAGTATTATTAAACAATCAATATTTGAATTTTAGCTAAATATCCCATTGTTTGAAATCAAAAAATACCTAAGAGATGAGTCATATTATTTAAGATCTTTGTGAGCATTGTGAAATTCTCATCCCAAGGTTCTTAAGGATTTATTTTGTGTAGGCTTCTTTTCTCTGGCTCCTTCTGTTGCTGTCTCACACCAKGAGCTATGGCCCCTAGATGTCTTTTTCTAAAGAATGATTCCATTCTGCTATGAGGTAATCATCTTCAAACAAGTGGATCTTTAGGAAAATGAGCTCATGTGTAAGTACGTGGTCTTCCTTGAAATCATCCCACACCTAGAGATTAACAGACAACAGGTGAAGACCCAGGTCACACTCACAGGTACTTAATAACAGTGCAGTAGTTAAGAATATGGGTCTGAGGATGGTCCACATTGAAGTTCTGATCTATACCTGTGTCACTTGACAGCAATGTGAACTGAGAAATAAATGCTGTCCTCCTTATCTCCTGGTAGAGCACTTCATTTTCTAGATTCTTTACAAACTTCTTTCTCAGCTTCTGAGTCTACGCATCTTTCAACATCCCTATTTGCTGAACTGTAAGACTAGTTGTCATAAGCATGGTTTGAG